ACTTATAGCCGCTTCGGGCATTGGTTCTTGCATCCTCACCACGGAGAAGGTGCCACTGCCACATGGCTCCATGGTACGTGTGCTCCGGTGAAGTGGCTTTGGTGGCGCGCCGTCGAACTCATGTTCCGGGGCCAGTTCCGGATTCCCAGCAGCATGATTCCCGAGGAAGGCGTTGAGACTGACCTATTCAGTGGTGGGCAGATCCTGAATTACGATTTCAGAGACATGCTCAGCTCCGGGAAGATCCAACAAATTTGTGGTGCAATCGACAAGTTCACCGAAACAGGTGAGGGATGATCTTAGAACCCGCCATCAAGTTTTATAGGAAGCCCGGTCTTAAGTGGGAAAGAAAGCCAGGGCCTTGTAAAACGAAAATAACAAACAAGCAACAGAAAAGCGGTACAAGTGTCAGTGTCAGACCGCTTTGCCGATGGTGACGCTCCAAGCAGTTTAGACCATTTCTGTGCTGCTATTTACAACAGTTTAGGCCACAACTGGAAGGGATCTGTTTAGGCCGTGGGTGCGATCACGCGAGCAACAACCACCCTGTGTGGTCCTAATCCCAAAGTCCTTAGTCTTGGAAAACGATAGGAGTGAAAAGAGCGCTGGACCGCGAAGTCCCCAAGCCCTGTTAAACCAAAGCAGCAAAAATCGATACAGCATGGAGAGTGGAGCGAATGAGTTTTTTTCACGCACCCTCAGGTGTCGTGCTCGTCGACGGGAAAGAGCTGGATGCAGACCTGGTGATTTATGGCACAGGCTTCGCGAAGAACTATGATATCTTCGATAAAGTCATCCAGAAAAAGCTCAACATTCAGAAGGACGGATTGTACCTCTACCGCAACGTCATCCCACCTCAGGTGCCGGACGTGGCCTTTGTTGGTTGCGAGGTGTCCACCTTCAACAATATCTTGACGCAGGGCCTCCAGGCCCTTTGGCTTCAGAAGATACTCTCAGGTCAGATGCGGCTGCCCAAGCCAGGTTCCATGGAGAAAGTCATCCAGAAGGAGCCTTCGTGCAGTCGTGCACTTTGTAGGAAAAGACCTGAGGGCAATCGGAAGACGCTGGCCGGTAGTATAGATATGTATGATAGATCATCGGGGTACTCGTACCTTTTATCTGTGCCCGAACTGTGATCCAGAAGGAGCAAGCATGGAAGCGAACATGGATGCCGCCCGCAAGTTCCCGTGCGAGCTTGTACCAGCTTCACATGACCAAATACCACGACATGCTCGTGCAGGACATTGGCGGACAGCGGTTCCGCAAGATGCCAAATTGCTTCGGAGAGCTCTTCATGCCGTACACGGCTAGAGATTTTGCAGGCCTTTTCGCGGAAGGCTCTAAGTAGAGCCTGCGTGCAGTTCGACATGATTTAACAGCACGGACCGGAAGGAGCAATTTTGACGTGTGTTTCGCTTACAGAAGAACGGCGAGATCGAGATCTTTAGCAGATATCCTGGACAGAAATCGACCAGTCTGGCTGATTTCAGTCCGGTTTAAATTCGCTCATAGGTGGCCGCACGTGTGGCCCGATTAGCCTACTTGGAGGATCAGGGGTAGTTATAAGTGGGGTTATAAGTCCCGTGATATGGGTTATAAGTATAGTTGCCCTAATAAGACGCCTACTTATAACTACCCATTAACCTCCAAGTCGGGAAGCCAGAGCGAAAAAGTGCCAGACAGACCATGCTCGGAGCAAGATCTGGTTTCCTACTCTACCACTTTTTCTACATGTATATATATATATATATATTGTGCTATATTGTACTAAACTTTACTACATCATCATACTATGCCATAGGCCAAACTATGCTACATGATGATACATTGCAAGTTTCCTGAAACCTGGAGCTTCGTCAAAACCAGTGCTTTCCGAGCCCAGCAAGCTTTCACTCTGTCCGAGGCATCATCTGTCGATGTCGCGCCGATCTGTGCCATGGCTGAGCACAAGCGCACGTAGACGCATAGCAAACACGTGAGCCACGGAGCCGTTGCCTCGGAACCGTGAAACATGTAGGGGTCATGAACTGTTGACCATGCAGGCGTGACCGACCCGCTCGGTATCGCATCTCTGTGGCAGTCGGCGAGGACTGCTTCACATTCCCCGCCTCAGGTGAAAACGGATCAAATCTAGTCCACTACAGACTATAGGAGTTCTGATGCGACCGTAGAAGCAAGACTTCCTGAGTCGAAGACAGTGAGTCTGGTGCTGCTCAAGAAAACATCACAGTCGACTGAGCTGTCCATGTTTTCGGGTACTGTGTACGCATGTATGAATTCATACAGGGATGGATGAATCTATGTCTGGACGCATGCATGTCCGCATGCCTACTTCTTCTATGCATAGTGAAACTCATGTATCCCTTTTCGACTATCAAGACTTGTTGACCACAGTCAGGAACCGACCAGCGACTAATCTACATAGCTTGTTTGAACGGAGCCGCTCGCCTGGCACGGGATGAGTTGCGTTGTGCATGCTCGAAGCTCGAACCTTGGCTGAATCTCTAGGGTGTCTAGGTGGCCCTGTTCGTATGCAGCCACGAAAAGCTCCGGACAGGAGGGCTCTGAGCAAGATGTTTGCGACGGCTTCGAGTGGAGTGGCGGATAGAGCAGCCACTGTGCAAAAGACATCCTCATCATCCTGCCAGTTTTCGAGCAGGTGGTTTCTTGCAGATTCGAAGCTTGAAGCACGTAGTGACGTAGTGGAAGTTTGGAAGAAGGGTTCCTGACAGGCTTGGATAGTTCCGTGAGGAATCTTGCTGGACCTTGCAAGCTTGTGGGGAACCTTGCTGCACCTGGCAAGCTCCATGCTACATACCAAAATCCGGTGTGCATGGCTGAAGGGTAGGCCCCGATGCCAGTACCCAACTGCCGCGCATGGTTTTGTTGACCACTTTGGCCGTTTTAGTCACTGAGAGAGTTCAACGGTCAACGACGGCCCTGCGAAACCCGCATGTTCCGAGCAGTACTGCTCCGCTTTATCACTGCGTGTCTTGGGTGTTGACGAGCCCTGAGCCCAGAGCCTCGTGGACATCAATTTGGCAACTCTGGCCTCTTAAGATAGTCTAGTAGTATGGTCCCACTACTTGTGCAATAGAGCAATAGAGTCGCAGACGCAGTAGGATGAGTTTGATGCGAGAATCCACTTCGCGCTGTGCTTGTACTGGCCGGTCCATCAGTTCGTCGTCTCAGCTATCGGAAGATTTAGGAATTTAGGTGATAGCTTTAGTCATGGCCGTGCAGCCGCCGCTGGCTATGGCGATTGCAGGGCCGTGCTGGCCAGCCGTTGGAAGGTGCTGCCCCAATGACAAGATTGTGGGCGTATTCTTTTTTATACGCATAGCCGCTCCTACGGCGTACTGTTTTGCCAGTATCATGTTGCCATTGTTCATCTTCTTCTTGCTAAGTCTGTTAATTGTCCTCTCCTTGCAGAAGTTTGCTTGACATGTGTGGAGGTTGTGTAAATTCGTCATGTTGAAGGCAGCTCAGTGTTGCTTGGGGTCCTCCATCTGCGCGGTATTGTAAACCGCCTTAGTAAGATGATGAAGCCTCGTTACTACAGACTCTGGGGCTTCATGACGCTACACCTAGAGCCCTTAACCCCAACTCCGATCCTGCAACCCTCTTCATGATTCGAAGGTCTAGGGCCGAGGCTCTAGGCCCCGAAGCGAAGCCCCTAGGGTTAAGGGTTAAAAGTTATAGGGTTTAGGGTTTAGGTTCAGGGTTAGTTTTTAGGATTTAGGATCAGGGTTAGGGGTTTAGGGAGTTCGGCAAGCCTCAATGAAACCGCAATCTTTTGGAGTTTTACAGCCTGAGGACAGCTTCAAATCCCTGAACCCTGAAGCCGAAGCCCTGAAGCATAGACCCCGAAGCCTAAACCCCTAGACTCCCGGCTCCTAAGCCATAGACCCTGAACTATAACACCATGACCTCTCTGAGTCAACCTCAAAATCCTACCCTACCTATAGTCTCCATTGTAGGTCCTTTTTGGGATTACCTCATAAGATTCTAAATATGAACCCCAAAAAGGAACTACTTTAGGGCCTTAGGCCTTAGGATAAACCATAAATCGCATCCTGACCCCACGAAGCCCCGGAGTTCTCAGCCGTCTGAGGGCCTTGTCTTCACCCAGCGGCCTCCGAAGCTCAGGTGTCGGGGGAGGGTTTCAGGGTTCAAGGTTTCCTGGTTTAGGGTTTAGGGTTTCAGGGTTTCAGGGTTTCAGGGTTTAGGGTTTCAGGGTTTCAGGGTTTAGGGTTTAGGGTTTAGGGTTTCTGGGTTTAGGGTTTAGGGTTTAGGGTTTCAGGGTTTCAGGGTTTCAGGGTTTAGGGTTTAGGGTTTCAGGGTTTAGGGTTTCAGGGTTTCAGGGTTTAGGGTTTCAGGGTTTAGAGGGTTTAGGGTTTCAGGGTTTCAGGGTTTAGGGTTTCAGGGTTTCAGGGTTTAGGGTTTAGGGTTGAGGGTTTAGGGTTTCAGGGTTTCAGGGTTTAGGGTTTCAGGGTTTCAGGGTTTAGGGTTTAGGGTTTAGGGTTTAGGGTTTCAGGGTTTCAGGGTTTAGGGTTTCAGGGTTTCAGGGTTTAGGGTTTAGGGTTTAGGGTTTCAAGGTTTCAGGGTTTCAGGGTTTCAGGGTTTCAGGGTTTCAGGGTTAAGGTGAGTTCCAGGGTTTAGGAAGCTTCGGCGTGTCTGGGTTCAGAGTTTGGGGTTTAGGGTTCTTCTCCTGGTCTCATCTTGACCTCCTCCGTAGCACCCGAGGGAGGAGCAAGCGGCTTATGGCTTCAAAGCCTTCGGAAGTTAGGGTCTGAACCGAGACACGTAAAACTTCGAGCTCCTGCGCATCAAGTTCCCAAACCCCAAGCCTGACTTCCTTCGTACCCTCGGCCCTGTCTGGAGCCTTTTGGGACGGCAAAAGCCCTTCAAACACACTTCTCAAGCCCTTGAACTCTTGCTCAAAATCTCTCCCAGGGCACACTCCCAGCCGTGGCCAGCCGAAGCGCGGCGAGCAATCGGGACACAGGTTCAGCGGCTTCTGGGGAGTTCGGGCATTTTTTGGCCTTCAGGGCTCAGGGTTTGGGGCAGAAGGGGTTCAGTGCGTCGGGCTTGGGGCTTTAGGGCCTTGCTGTGTCGGCATTGCTGCAAGTCTTTGTCACAGTTGGGCCCTGGGTAACATTTTACAGTTTTGTGGGTACTTGAACCCAGTAAGGAATAAACATGTACAGTTTTAATCCTATCCCAACAATGAACTAGAATTTAAGTTTTGAGGAATTGCGGCTGTAGTGATTGAGAGTGTGACGGAGTCAGGATTGAGGATTTCGGAGTCCAGAGTACGCTTGTGTTTCGAAGAATCAGCCTGGGAGGCGTAGACCTTTCGGGTTTCAGCGAGGCAGGCATGCAGGAGTGTGGGTAAAGACACATTTCGCTTGGGGACTCCCTGATTCCCCAAAGTACAGGCATTCAGGGCAGAAAGGATTTCAGTCTCGGGGCTTCAAGTTGCATTTCATGGGTTGTGGGTGAAGCTCCTTCAGGTTCAAGTACAATTGAAGGTTCGGTAGGTTCAAGAGCTTTGGGGGCTTCATATGTTCATTCGTGTAGGGTAAATAAAAGTATATGCAGCTGCCATTGTCAGAGTTGTTTTTGTTTTTCTTGCCCAGCTTCTCCGAAGCCAGCGTGGAGCTGCAACCGACATGTCCCAAAACCCTAACCCCCTCAACAAATATTGTACTCGACGGAATGCTTCATGTGCTCTACAGAGCTATGCTTCAGTCTTTAATGTACATCGCAAGGTTTTCCGATCTCCATCTCCAGGCCTGTTCGCTTGGCCTTAGCCGCAGCGGGTGCAGGGGCTGCAAGAGCGGCGGCTGCAGCAGTCGAGGCGCAGCTGAGGGCAGGGCATATAGTATGTTATGGTTATTGTTACTGTTACTATTTTTGTTATGATTGTTATCATAGGCCATAGATAGGGTGTATCACAGAGCACAGGGCGTAGTATTGGGTATTTTCTGGGGTTGTTCACGATTGCCGCCGCCTCAACCACCACCGCCACCAGCGCCAACATCACCACCAACTCTAATGCCACAGCAATGCATCATCTTCATGACCTCGGCCATACTATCATGCACCACCATACCACCACCACCCACGACAACACCATCAGCATCATCGTTGTCGCCGTCGTCGCTGCTATCAGTCACTGTCACCGTTGTCGGCATCGTCATCCCACTAATCACTAGTAGCACAATTATGAACGCAGGGCAACCCTGCTGCTATCTGTCGTCTCATCATACATCGGCAAGACTTGTCGCAGGACGCGACGCGAATACAAGACTGGTGCTGCGGAAGCAGCAGATCGCTCGTTTGGTCGGAGCACCCGCAATAAAGCGACGGAACGCGGTTCGGTCTTCGCTCCTCATTTCCTCACAGCTTGAACCCATCCTCTCTTCCGTAGTGACGCCGTAGTGGTAGGGGTATCGATGCTCCAGAAGCGTGAACTCCAAACCCCTAAACCCTAAGCCCCCAACCCCTAAACCCCTAAACCCCAAAACCCCCCAAACCCACCAAACCCCTATAGACACCGGAGATGTTCTTGAGGCGCCGCCGGTGGAGCGTCGGGCCCGGAGGCGCCAGGGTGCCTCCGACTCCTCAGGTTCACTAGGGGGGCACCGGATAAGTACAATACAATACTACTTTGGGGGCTCCTTTAAACTATAAGGCCTACTATAAGGGCTATTTTCTGGGGGCTCGGGGCTTGGGGCTTTCTTCGCGTTCGGAGCTTGGCACTCCAGGCGGAGAACTCGCAGTCGGCAGCCGCCACAGCCAGAAGAGGAATCCACAGCGCAGCAGCAGGAGGATCTCCGGCATGTATGTATGCATGCATGTATACATGAACAATAACAGTATATATATATATATACACACAGGAACCTACAACATATGCACGTATTGTTGTGCCCCGCCCATGTACCCACGCCTGTGTTCTAAATCTCGGCTTCACGGCTTCAGGAAAGCGTGAGTCTTTGGGATTGGTGTTTTGCGTTCAGATCGCCCCTTTCCTAGTTATGTTCAAGTACAAAGCTCTCGCAGTGGAGCAAGACAGAGCGGATTCAACCGGATTTTCCTGCTCTGCACCTTGAGTTGAATCTTGGATCCGAGGGGTATTCAATTGAATACTTGTTGAATCCGTTAGAATACGCACTGTTGTGTTTTGGAAAGTGTATTCTGCTACGTTGATAACAGTATTAGTCTTCAGTTCGTGCTACATAGATATTTTTCCGTTCACCGGAAATTTGATGTTGTAGAGATTGGATTGATTTGTAGGGGCATGGTTATCGCAAGTGATTGAAGCGCAAAGCATTGGTACATGAGGGGGTTATCATATTATGTATGTATATATATATATATATATATATACATATATGTACACTCATTTATGCGTATATAGAATGTAATTACTCATATGTGTGTATATACATACACATATTCACTTTTGTACACATGCACACACACACACACATACACGCAAGGTTTCTCAGCACTACCCAAGTACATGTAATTATACACCTGGAGCGATACCGCACACGTAAGTAAGCTCTCTCTCTCTCTCTCTCACTCTCTCTCTCTCTCTCTCACACGCACTTGACATCTGTGTACAGAGAAAAACACATGAGCCGTATATATTGTATATTATGTGTAGACACATATACCTATATGTATACACATGTGTACAGAAATATGTACATACATATACATATACATAAACAGATACGTATACACGTACATAGGCATAGACATATACATGTACACATATGTATATGTACATATACATATTCACATATGTATGTATATATATATATATATACATACACACATACATGTATACATACATACATACATACATACATACATACATACACATATACATACATATATATATATATATGTTCACAATATTTACATGTTTGCATATGTACAGGTATACCTATATGCATATATACATGTATACATGCATACTAATGTACATATATACATATATTCATATATGTTTATATGCATATCTACGCATATACATAGACAGATACACACACACATATACATATATATATATATACACATGTGCATACATATTTACATATATACATATAAACATAGGTGCATCTGTACGTATATACATATATGTATGTATGTATGTATGTATGTATGTATGTATGTATGTACGTATGTATATATATATATATATATATATATAGATAGATAGATAGACAGATAGATAGGCCAGCATGCAGGCATGCAGGAACGCAGGCATGCAGGCAGACAATCACACAGGCACACAGGTAGACAGGCAGACAGGCATGTGTCCGTACGTGTGTACGTATGTGAGTAGCTAGGTGGGTCACGGCAGGTAGGTAGGCAGGTCGGGAGGTCGACAATGCCCCTGCACGAAGGAAGAAGAAGAAGCGCCTGCAAAGGCATCCGAAGACAGCGAAAGTCAGGAGCGTTAAGGATTTTAGGTCTCGGGTACAGCGTCTAGCGTATGTTTTTTTTGTTTTTAATGGTTCCCGGGATGTAGCACACAAGGTCGGAGTTCCAGTGATGCTTGAGGTTGCCGCTTGCCTCAAATCTGCGGGCTTAGCTTGAACGCAATGTATCCAGCAAGACGGCCTGCGTTGTAGCCCGCTGCTTCCACACGGTGTTCCCTGGAAGCGGTTCACCTGTGCAGGAGATCTTCTTTAAGCCGTACCCTGCGCACTTGAGGCACCTTTTCGGGGTACTGGGTTTTCGGACTTTCGGGATTTCTCGAACTCAAGACATTGTCCAAACGTCGGCACGAGAGCAGATTCGGGATTTTCACGAGGCTGCTTCAGGTGAATTTTGAGTCGCTCATCCCACCTCTTTGCAACAAGTAAGATTCTCCGGCCTCTTGCTCACAGATGATTATCATCACATTTCGTGATCAGCCTCTACACTCCAAATTTGAAAAACCACTAAGCCCTAAGCCCCCGAAGCCGCCAAGCAATGAGCTAGGCCCTTATGTGCAGTACTCCTACGATAACAATATGCCTACTTGATGGGATCTTCGGGCTCAAGGAGCATTTGTTGGATGCAAAGTGTTGGAGACGGTCATCTCTACTGTCGGCTAATGGCATAGAGCTTGGTGGCTTCTACTCCAAACCCTAAAATACTGAAGCCCCGAACACTCAAACTCAAGGCCTTACGTGCCCTTCAACGCTCCGAAAGCCTTCAATCCCAAGCTTTTTCATTGCGAGGCATTCAGGTTTAGGCATTTCGAGCTGTGGGCAGGGAGAAAGATGCGACGCCACACCTTGAGTCTTGTGGGGCGGTTGCTTCGTATGGGCTTCTTGCCATGCTGTCATGCACCAATCGCTATCTAGTATATAGGAGTGCGAGGATTCAGGAAGGGCCCAGGGCAGACAGCTCAGTTTCAACAGCGCCCATGGTAGCATGTACCCCTTTACGCACCTCTTCCACCGGAACGATATGTGATATGATATAATACAATATGATATAAAATGGAATATAGTATGATAGCAAATATATAGAAATACAGTACCGTCGAGCAAGGCAAGGTCAGCTTACCAGCGGGCTCCAAAGCGGGCAGTTGCTAGTCGGGGAGCTGAGGCAGATTCTCGGATGAAAATTAGAATTGAGATCAACCGTAGATGCTAGACCGCAGACCATCGGCACGGAGTTGTCGTCGAGTCTTTCGGAGACACCTTTTTGTGAAGCGGTTTCTTCGAGCTCTCCACATCTACACCCCAGGATGCTCAACTCGCGGACGCTGGGCCGCCTCAACTGCACAAAGTGATCGAAGGGCTCGGAATCTGTAGAGCCTTTGCGGATAGCATACATACTCCACAACCACAAGCCGCAGAGCCTTTGCTTTCCGAGTAATTAGTCAATATGGCAACATCCCGTGAAGCGTCGAATGGTAACAGGGATCGTGCGTGTGAGGTTCATCGTCCTTCCTACACGCGTGTCTTCGAATCCTCAGATTCCTTGTGCCAGCTTTTCATGTCACTGTTGCCTGGGCAGCATTTCCATGGTTTCCAAGCATCTTAACTCCCGAGGTGTCGTTTACGTCCCGGACGCGGGGGAGTTCCTCATATCTGGTCAAAATGCCATGAACCGTGCCGTTGATGGAGACATAGCCGCTTGGCCTGTCTTGCTGCATCTCCCAAATACAACAAGTCGGAAGGACCCAGATCCTGCCTGTAGTTCGTCTCTGAAAGCGCAAGAGCAGGGTGTGTCGGGGCACGGAAACCTGTCATGAATGTAGCTTCATGGCCGTCCTAGGCAGATTTCAGGTCAGATGGCGCCCAAAATCCACGGCGGATGGTAACGGCCTTCAAGCCATCGCTTGAGTATTGGAACTCCTTTTTAGCAACAATTTTGATGTCGTGCTGCGGTTGTCATGAAGCAGAAATGCTGACAACAGTGATTACAGCATTAGTCTTTGCAGACAGCGCACTGGCAATGGCAAGAGCAGCACCAATCGGAGAAAGAAGAATCAAAGCCTCAAAGCGTCTGAGGTCATTATCGAGAAGCTGCGAGCTTCCGAGGTCGGCCACGGGGGAGCGCAGACGTGCATTTCGGAACAAGCGCACAAGCAGGAGTAGCAGCCCACTCCTTAAAGTGTTTTTGACTCTCAACTGATTTTTGGCGTAGCACGACGAGTAGGAAGAGTCTTTGCGCATATTGCTGCTCTTGTGGTTTTGTTTGCAATCGTAACGTAGCAGTGGCAAGAGAAGCCATGTCAGCAGGACGGGGAACAGGAAGAGCAAAACACACAATCTGAGCAGGAGTAACCAGTTTTGTACTCACAAGAAGGCAAATCTGTCTTCACCAAGGTTACCCACCGGCCATACCTGTACATTAGTGTCAGGGCTATCAGTGGTAGCGTGGAAAGCCCTGTAGAGCGACATCCAAAGCTGGTCCACTGTAGCCATCATGTGCGATCCGTGTTCACCTGGACCTACGCAGTACGGCCCGGTGCCTACTCCACTTGGCATCACGGGCAGGCCAAGCGCGGACGACGACCCGAGTTAAAGGCGAAGGCCCGACCTGCGACCACAGGGGCTGGGAAAGCCGGCCGGGAGGTGTCGGTGCGCCGGTGTGAACTGGGTAGTTGCCTTTTGACTGGCCACTAATTACATTGAGCTGTGCTTTCAAGTGTATGTGTATGTAGGTACCTCCATATGGCACAGGTGTGTAGGTAGGTCGGTGGGTAGGTAGGTCGGCAGGCACGAAGGAAAGGAAGGTAAACAGGCAGGGAGGTAGTAGGTCTCCCTATACGTGGTAGGTAGCATTCGAGTTTTTGCAGCTCTTTTCGCTGTAGGGCGTTGGTCTTCCAGCCGGATTGCTCGTTGTTAAAACCCATCCCTCGCCTAAAGCGGGTTGTGAGGCACTGAAGGATGGCAACGATGTTGTGGTCATGATGGGCAAGCCAGCTGCGAAGATCGTTGCCATCAAGAAGCGTGGCCTGCCTGTATATGTCGAGCCAAGCTAGGCAAGACACTAGGGCTGTACAGCACGAATAGAACATGGATCGAAGGTTCCAGTTATTGTTGTTGCATTGATGGGATCGTGACTGTAGAAGTCCGCAAGCATCCTTTGGAAAGTCTCTTCATATTGAGGAGCAGCTTCTTCCAAAGCAGTCGAGGTTTCTCGCACCTCAGGGTTTGCTATCAGTGGAAGCTAAAGAATGGCACTGGTAAGTTCCCAGCTCCACAGGCAAGCGTCCTCCTCTCCCCCCTTATCCACCTTCTACTAGTGCTGCTACGACGACTAGGCCTAGGACTACGGCTACGACTACTACTTCCACCACCTTCACGGCGGCATAGCCACTGCTACAACCCTTCGTGTACGATTGCTGTCCATGCTGCTGCTGCTGCTGCTGCTGCTGCTGCTGCTGCATATCGAGTCCCGCCTTGCAGAAGCAGTTCGTGCACTGGCTGCCAGGATCCCAGAGAGAGGTTGGTGGAACCATTTATTCCATCGATGCTCTCGAGGAGGCCCTGATCTGTGCATCCAACCTGGAAGTCGCGAAGTCTACGGCATCAGTGTCACCTTCAGTGATGCGGGAGCTTTCTCTAAGCCTTTCCCAAACCCTAAACCCTAAACCCTAAACCCGATCTAAGCGCCCTGGTCCTGATCACCACGAAGCTCCGAAGCCGAGAGCCCTCACGCTCAGAAACGGGAGCTTCTTCGGAAGACCAAAGGCGTGGAGCAGGCTGGGGGAGACTGAAGACGGATCTCACTTGGGAAAATCGGGTCTCAGTTGGAGCTTAAGGATGAGGGGTGGGCGGGGTGGGTGCAATGCTTTCGGAGCATGCTGGGATTGGAATCCTTCCTCTTCTGTGGTGTCTCTACTCTCCAGAAGTTGTTACTAAGCTCAACGACGCACTGCGGACTCATCATCTTAGCTCCTCGATTTAAAGCCGATGAGGCGCCGCTTGTCATGCAAGCATTAGTGGAAGATGACACACCATCGGCAGCGCGAGGATGACTGTCTCTTCATCCCGGCGGACAGCAGATTCCCGGACATGTTGGTCAAAGCCGCGCCCGAGCAGTACGAGGATCTCTGACAAGCACAGCATGGCGATTAAAACTCTCATTACGATTTCTTGGATGAACATCGAAGACCCCCCAAAACCCTGAACCCTAGGCCCAAGAACAATACCTTAATCCGAAATCCCAAAACCCAAACCCCCCAACTCCTCGCCTTAAGTTCAGGATCAGCGGGTGACCGTCATACTCAACACTTGGCAGCCCCTGGGCCGAAAGTCTCACAGACATGCAGAACGCTGGCTGCTGGTGTGTTTGGGGTTGAGGATAAATCATATGAACCAATATATATATATATATATATATATATATGAATCAATATAAAATATGAATTGAACCCTGAACCCTAAGCCGTGAGGTTTGGGGTTTTGGGTTAAAGCTTAGGCTCTGGGGTTCAGGGGTCCGGGGTGTGAGGTGCGGGGTTTGGAGAATGTCCCTTCGCTTCAGACCGCAGTTTCGGAGAGAGTCCATTGCTAAGTACGATACCTCGTTTTCTGCCGCGAAGTAGCCTTAAATTGAGGCAGTTCTGCCCATATCCTCGAGCTCGCTTCTCGCGGAAGCTGGGCAAGACTGGAGACGTGGAGGTTGAGACGGAGATGATCTTGCCTCGTGCCTGCACCTGTTGTGCTACCCTCATTCTAGAACCATGCTACCCATAGATGCGCTTAGCGAACCCTCACCGTCCCGACTCACACACTGCAGCAACGATGTGATCGCTCATCGCAGATTGTGGGCAAGGGGTTGCGGGCCAGGAAGTCCTAGGAGCAGGGGCTCAGCTTTTCGTGCACAACCATCCGTTCCGCCTTGGGAGGGTACCTTTGGATGATCCTGGGACCCCAAAACGGTGCCGTGGCTGTTGGGTTGCTCATCAGGCTGGAGTTCAACGTCAAGGACGAGCCCTTCACAGAGGACCCGAGAGCCCAATGCCAGCTTATCGCAGGGTCAGGCCGAGGTTATTATCCGGGCTTCATATAGAATCCTATAAGGTAATCCCAAAAATGAACTACTTTGGGGCCTATGGGTAGGGCTAGGATCTTTATGTTGGCTTACTGCTGCTGCGAAGCTTGTGCAGGAAGTGCTGAGCTGCCTTCCACCGGAAGACTTCGCGCCGTCAGCGGAGGATTTCAAAGGCAGCTGCAACGTTTTAGAGCCAACAGAACTTCGGCAGTTGCTTACGAAATCCCGGCGAATCGGTGTGAAGTGGCGAATTCTTCTTGTTTGTATGTTCTGGACTCGGAATTCAGCCGATTCCCTCGCTCTCTCTCCCTCTCTCTCAGTCTCCCCTCTCCCGCCTCCGCTTCCGCGCCCGCTCCCTCTCTCCCTCTCTCCCTCTCTCCCTCTCTCTCTCTCTCTCTCTCTCTCTCTCTCTGTCTCTCTCTCTCTCTCTCTCTCTCGCCAGCTCTCTTCCTCACTCTCTGTCTCTCTGTCTCTGTCTCTGTCTCTGTCTCTGTCTCTGTCTCTCTCTCTCTCTCTCTCTCTCTCGCCATCTCTCTTCCTGACTCTGCGTCTCTCTGTCAGTCTGTTGGAGTGTCATCTTGGAGATACCCAGAGCAAGCGCAAATTGGCGTTCTTCGAAATCTCAGAAAACCCGCCTCACCTTCTTCCCGCTGCCTTCCAAAGCTTGACAGGTCGCATGGACTTTCGAGATGTGTGTGTTTTCTCGATCGATCCTCCCGGCTCCTTGGCGGAGTATTGGGATGAGTCGGGATAACGATTCTGCGCTTTCATCAGAGTAATTAGTCAGATGCATGTCAGAGACGTGCTAGTTGTTCGTGGTCGGTTCCGTCTTCTGCTCTCCATCCAGCTGTACCTATATAGTCTTCTCCTTTCGTTGATGCAACTACGTGCTTTCATTTCTCACACACACACACACACCAGTTGAATTCTGCCTGTCATCCCGACGTGCTGTGCCGATGGTTTCCTGAAGGTTGTGAAGACGTCGATGATGCCCTTAGCTGCGAGGAGCTGGACAACGGCAACTTCCGCATTGGGGTAGTCTGGCCAGAACTGCCTTGGGGGTACTGCGAGTCTTCTGTCGAGTGTTTAATTCTGCTGTGAAACTGAGATTAACAAAGCTTCTTGGGAGGACAAACAGTTCTGACACACAACACTCAAGAAGAAGAAGAAGAAGTGACTAGCGTGCGAGCGATAGCACCAGTTATTCTCTTGTATATCTATTCTTCGGTCAATGCTCAAATGAGTCATGCAGTGAATTTGGTTTCATTGCATTGATTGGGAACCAGGCTGCTGATAGAGACTGTGAGGCAAAGTGAGAGAAGGAAGCAATCCATGGCTGAATGTGAAAGTCTTTCGGGTCGGGTTGGGTGCAGGGTTGCCCACTCCGCCCGACTAAGTTGGAACACTAAACTCAAGGCCGTGCCAACAGCTGAGCCCAATACCCTCAGCAGTGAGCCATGCGATGATGTCCCATCTAAATGCCCACACACCTTCACACATGCACTTGCTCTCTCTGTCTCTCTGGCTTTTATTCTCTTCCTGTCTGTATATAGTGGCGAATCTACAAGCTCCCTGTACATGCTGCTGTTCCACGATGTGCTACTCGATCGAACTTTATTCATGGCTTTTCCAACAGGGTCCGCAACAAGGTCTTGTAGCTTGGAGTTTCCCAGATTTCACAAGGGAAGACAGGTCGACAACTGACAACTGTTCCACACCAGGGTGCCTCTGGCGGTCCTGTTGTAGTGAACTCTTACCAACAGCCGCTCCGCGATGCTTTATGGGTTTGGTGACCTTGTGCATTGCACCAGACTGCTGTACTCAGTACTCCTGCTTCAACTGCTTCGTGAACTACCGGTGCAATGGCATAAGCAGCATTTCGGGTATTTACGTCTAGTTCTGCCATTTCGCTTCTTCAATGGTCACGTTGTTTGCTGCAGTGGGGAAATAGTGGTCTGCAGCCACAAGAAAGAAGGGACGGAGCCTGCCGAATTCCACATTCCGAGATTTGATTCCACATCGCGTCATCATACCCCTCGAAGCCCTGCAGAATCCATGACAACAGCCTCCTAAGCACGCAGGTCCACATCGCTGATGTGACCCGGTTCGTGAAGCCGGACACCGAACTGGATCGGGAGGCCACGTTGAGATATCTAGGGTTTAGCAGTTTAGAGCGTTAGGGGTTAAGGTTTAGGACTGGCAATGTTCACCGATTATGGATGGGAGTGGAGCGGGCTGCACTGGGGCAGAGGGGCAGTACATGGCTAAACCCGCAGCATTTCTGATTTCACAATCCCAACCATCAACAGCTCCATCTTCATCATCACACCATATCATTTCCTCGTCGTCGTCGTAGTGCTCGTATTGGCCTTACTCGTAGTAGTCCTCGTTGCAGTGGCAGTCGTAGTTGCTGCCGATGTGTCGTTGTCGAAGAAGAAGAAGCCGACGACCGACGCCGCCCACATTCCCACGGCCAATTGCAATAGCATATTTACACTTACACACCGTTTGTGGCTGCGAACAAGACTGTCTTACAGGCGCCTGGTCTCAAGTCTGAAGTAAGCAAGGATGGCGAGCAAGCTGATGCATACTTCCTGTCGGCTGCTGGCTATTGGAGTTGACGAGGGGTTGTGCACGGACCTGTGTAGAGCTGTTTTGCTACCCGGTCAGTCCTGTTAGAGATGTACGATAGAATTGTGCGCATTATTTGTATTGAAGAAAGTCGCAAGGGTGCAGAGCGGAGCACATCCGTCTACCTTGTTAACAAGCGAGTGGCTGCTCGGATGTGATTCTCCCGGGGCTCCGGTCTGAGCAGTATTTTTTAGAAGCTGCCCCCACCCTGTAATAGTCGTATAATAGGAATATGATAGGGCCCTAACATAATCCTTATGGTCACTATTGCAGGGTGGGGGGGGAGCTTCTAACGTATTTTCTTCATCGAAGGCCTTCTGTCGGATGGAGTTCTGGCATCGTACAGTCACTCCTGGGGCTCCAGAAGTGGGGGGGGGGGGGGCGGAATTTCAAGCATCTCCTTGCCAAGCTTTCTAACTCGGCTGTTTTTGAAGGTTCAGGGGTGTAAGGGAATTCACAATGATTCTGGGTTTGGCTCCTGGGTTGCAGCGAAGCATCCTTGGTTTTGAAGCTCCTTCTCGCCACAGAACCAGTAAAACTGCAAATAGTATTATTACACATGTACTTATATACATACAATGTGTGTGTATATATGTATATGTGTGTATATTATACTTATTAGTAGACAAGGTCAGTACTATGTGCAAGGGTGACACATGGAGGAAGTTCCAACCCTCCATGCATCCAGACTTGCACCTTTGCATTTGAGCTTCATACCGAGAGCGAACCTCTGGAAATCATTCGCAGACACTCGTAGATGCAGCCTTACTCGATTTAGTCTCATCCCGACCAGAAAAAGTTGAGCTGTAAAAGTCAACGGTTCATAAAGCTAAACGTTCAACCCCTAATCTAGCCTATCCCTAAGACTCCAAGTATACAAATAGTACCTACTTTGGGGTCTAAAGTCTATAAATAGTACCTACTTTGGGCTATTCGGAGTCCTAGGGTATGTCTCCGAGGACATGCTGCCCAAGCTGTTGACGACTGAGATCTGCTCCTTGAGATTTGACGGCAAGGCCAGGTCGGGTTCCCACTTGGTTTAGGGTTTAGGGTTCAGGGTTTAGGGTTTAGGTCTGTTCCTGCTGCGGTGCTGCTCCATTTTTGCTCCTGCTCGGAAAGCCTGTTTTTCGCCACCTCGTCGCAGGATCATTTGACCTTTTCCGCGGTTTTCGAGCTGACCCCGGACGCCGAAATGGTTAGTGCTCAGTTCAACAAGGCCATGGCATTGAAGTCAGTCTACGCGCGGCGGTGGTATATCAAATTAGAAAATGTAAATGCAACAGATGACGCATTCGTAGAGCATTCAGAGTCAGGCAGTGCCAAAGGCTGCGAACTGCCTTAAAATCTCGAAGTGTGATCAGGCTGTGTGTTATACGTGCATGGAATCTGCAAGCTTGATGCCTCATCAATGATTCGTGATTCGCAGGTCATAGCCCTATTCGAAGGTTCCTTCATTTTGTTGCGAAGCTCTCCAGGCGGTGATTCGATCCAGAGGGGCTCTGTCCTACAAGGAGGCGTCTGCCACGTTGTTTTGCAACTGTTTGCTGCACCTGTGCCAAGGTGTCTTTCTGGCATCCATTCGTGATCACTTGCGAAGGGTTCAACGATTGAAGGATGTGGACTGCGGATATGTTCGCCGGCTAGCTATGGGGTTTGCAGTGGCAATGCACGCCATGTTTTGACATGGGGTTGGCATCATCGCCTCAGGGGAAATCCAGCGCAAAGATCTGGTTCTATGGGGCAGGTCTTCTGCAACCTGTACATCGATTAATCAGCTAACAGGGCTGCAGCCGTCAACACAGCCACGAACCAAAACAATGCCTGTGCACACTTGGAGTACATGTGCCGTGGGTAGCCTTCAGCTGTCAATTGTGATCTGAAGTTCAACGAAACCTCACGCGTCGCCGTAGATTACAAGATGCTGAGCACCGTCACAAGAGATCAGTGTCTCAAGCCTGGAAGACATGGACAGTCCTACAGCAAGCTGCGAGCCGTAAGGCTGTAACCAGAGTTACACCGCCTGAATTCCGAAGCCTGTGCCAGGCTCAAGAAAGGTTGGACTCCGATCCGGCGGACGACCAGTCGGAAGTCAGACGCTTACAACTCTGCCTCTTGTAGATCTTCAAGCAGGGTAGAAACTGAAATCTCTGTGGGTCTCACGGCATTCAAAGCTTGATGGATGCGGCGACGTCGCTAGAAACACCTCGTGGTGACCTGCTGGCTTTCATGCTGTCGTGGCTGTTGTTCCACTGATGTCTACCCCAAAGGCCGCAGCTCCAAGTCTTTACCTCTTATAACCGCTGCGAAGACTGCGTTCGCTCAGAAATGCCTTTCGTGCATAGCCTTAATATCTTTTGAGCGTCGTCTGTGTCCCCCTTCAGCAGAAGCAGTGGCAAGACAAAACCTCGTCTATGCTTGGCTCTACCTGCACTTGTAATTACTGATTATATGGTGTTCCAATGTCACGCCTTCCGGTTCTCGAATGTTCCCCCTAGCTTATGCCCATGAGGTCACTGTGGCCATCCGAAACCTCTGGGCTCTGGCCCAAAAGCTTCGGTCAAACAGGATCGAGGCGTCCACTGGCATGGCTCAAGTATGGCTTGGGGTTGCGCCAAGGCATGGAAGAACCAGTCAGAATGGTTTCGAAAAATGTCTGACTTCCTGTGGTTGACCCTCGCCTGGTATTGAAAGCCCAAGCTCTGGTTTTGCGATGCCTTCCCGCATGGGTAGGCGCGATGTAGAGAGTTCGACCAGCCTCCAACAGCCCTTGCATTTCGCCGCCTACTCCTACTCTTACCGCTAATGCTGCCTGCTCCCACTCCCTAATTACTACGACGACGACCATGTCTGCTTCTCCTTCTCCTGCTACTATCCCGACTACTACTACTACTACTACTACTACTACTACTACTACTACTACTACTACTACTACTACTACTACGACTACTACTACTAGACTACTACTACTACTACTACTACTACTACTACTACTACTACTACTACTACTACTACTACTACTACTACTATTACGACTACTACTACTACTACTACTACTACTACTACTACTACTACTACTACTACTATTACTACTACTACTACTACTACTACTACTACTACTACTACTACTACTACTACTACTACTCTACTACTACTGCTACTACTACTACTACTACTACGAACTTACTACTCCATCTAGTACTACTCCATCTAGTACTACACTTCCTCAACACAGCCCTTGCCAGGACGGAGCCTTGAACTTGGAGAGCGGCGAGCTGAAGTTCGAGTGCCGCACTTGGACGGCGCATTCTGGATCATCGTCACGGTAGTAGTAGGACAAGCTGGCAAGTAGTTGTGGTGTTGAAGAAGTGAGCAGTGGTCATACTGGCAGTAGTGGCGCGGCACGAAAAAAAGAGTCTCGAACCAGCCCTGTCTCGTGAGTCGTGTGGTTGGGTAGGGTACCCACGAAGTCAGGCCCAAGAGACTCCTCGACGAACAAAGCCTCAGCTTTGCTGAATGTTTCTGTCTCGAAGGCTTAAGTGGCAGTTCAGCTGAGAACTTAATCAGGTCAAGATGTGATTGTATTCTCGGCCTTGCTTGGAGCTATATGGGAGCATTTTTTTGCGGAGCGACGTTTGGTTTCGAAAAGTCATGCTCGTGTTGCGCAAGGTCTTCTACGTTCAGCTCGCGTTTTCTCTTGCAACCTGCAAACATACGCTTAGGCTACCTGCCTGAAACGGAGGCCTGTCACGGCATTGCCAGAATCCTCCATGATTCTTGCGGAATGTGCAGGATCATCTAGGCATGTGGTTGAGTGCCGGCTCTTTGAACTGGTATTTGGGGTTTGCAGCAATGGTAGTCCGATGCTGCACCTTCGGCAGTGCCCAGGCTCGATTCCGAGAATCAAACTGCCGTCAACGTCTTCCAGTACGAAACCTACGACACCAATCGCCTCATCGAGGTTCGACACTGGGATGCTTCGGGGAAAAGGAGGGTTTAGGATTCAAGACTTCGGGCTTAGGTATGGTTCAACATGACACCAACCATCTGGACAATGGCTCGCCCTTCCATCGGACCCGTAGAAGCAACTCCTTCTGCTCCGGTAGCTTGAGGCAGAAGGGTTTGAGTTTGGGGTTTAGCATGTGATACTTGAGGTTTGGGTTTGTGGTTGAGGGTGTAAGGTTGGAGTATTATAGGGGTCTAAATAATAACCTATACTATTTTGGGGGTTCCTTACTATAGTTACAGCATAAAGGGCCCCAAACCCCTATTCTAATTCTTAAGGCCCCTATATTACCCGGGCAGGAGTTCATGCTCCTGGCGAATCGGAGAGTGGCGGAGGCTCGAGGGTGTTTAGGGTTTAGGGTTTAGGGCGGGTGTTTGTGTGAGGAGCTTCGCCGCTTTCGTTTTTCCTGTTGTGCTGCACCAGCGAAGGTCTCCCCCACCAATAGTCTTTAGTAGATCATCAGAATTGTTTGGTATAGTGTAGTATAGTATAGTGTAGTGTAGTATAGTAGAATCGAGTACAACATAGTTACTATACTGTACTCTACTCTACTATACTTCACTCTACTACACTATACTACACTACAATATAGTATGGAACCGGAAGGAGATCAGTGGCTGCTGGGAGAAGACGAGCGTTTTGCGTCGGCATCCGCCACCGAAGGCCCAGGGCTCACCGGGGTTCCTTTAGGGTTTAGGGTATCGGGTTTAGGATTTGGGGTTCAGGGTTTAGGGTCGAGGGTTGAGGGTTTAGGGTTCAGGGTTTAGGGTTTAGGGTCCGACTGCGCATGCAAGAGCTTCGACTTGCGATGCAATCGCTCCATGGCAAGTTCGCAGCTCTGAAGTTTTAGTACACCTTTAGAACAAGCATCCCCTGACCTGTTCCGTGCTTGCTATCGGGAATCCAGCCAGGAGGAGAGCATGGACGACTTGGTGACCCTGCTGGATGTACCCTGGTAATGAGGGTTTAAAAGACTTTGGGTTTGGCTTTCCTGGGGTCTCATGATCGTATTTTATTGGTTATATGACTTTATACTCTAATTTTTTGGCCTTGTGTGACATTATATCATATTATTGGACACAATGTGGTAAATTTGCTATTTTATGATAGTACATGGTATGGTATGACTTCATACCGTTTCATATCATCTCATGTGTTATGATATCATTTTATATCGTGCTATATCCATTGCAGTTTATGATACCATGCTATATTGTATTTTTAATGTATCCTACTTTGTCATGTCATCTTGTACTGTATTGGATGGTATCATCTGTTTTGTTTGGTCGCATTGTTGTTTTCATGTAGTTGTAAGGTTCTTCCTACTCTCTTTTCTTCTGCTATATCATACCTTTTCTACCAGGTTGTGCTGCAGTTGATATAAGCTATGTCGAACTGTATTATATTATGTTGTATTTTATCATGTTATATGTCAACATGTTATATTGTATGATGCCAAATTATACGACATTATATTATGGAATCTTAAAGTATATATCCTAATCGTATAATACATACGTCTCATACTATGTTATATCATGGCTGATCTAATTTGTGGTATTGTATCATTATCTAGTGTTATATCATAATAACATAGTATACTATGTTGTAGTATGCAATATTGTACTAGACTATATTGCATTATATCTGTTTGTTTTACGCTGTATAGTACATATGGCATATTATATTAGACCATATACTAGTACATAATATAGTATTGTGATATATACCATTTTGTTGTATTGTATGTTACTATACTGTACTATGACCTAATATGTACTTACATAACAAAGTATGTTACATCGTATTATACCATGTCATACTGTATCATATCATGTTATGTGACATTTCATGATATTATGTGATGTTTGTTGATGTTATGTTGCATTGTATGCTTATGTTCTGGTGTAGTTTATATTACTGTATGATATCATTTCATATCATATTATATTAGACTATGTCTCTATCCACAGTCAGTATTTCATATTGTAGGGACACTGTGGGTTGACAGAGACATTTCGAGGTGTTTCTTCGTGTCTCTCTCTGTCTGATTTCGGGTGTCTGCATGTGTGCATGCGTGGCAACAGTTGATCTGCAACTACAGTAGCGATTCCTATCCATTTAAAAATTATTGGCATGTCTTTATTCAGACAGTTGCAAGTACATGCACATGCTATGTGCATGAGCTTCTCTTTTGGGATTGGCTGAGCATGTTTGTTACAATCGAAGTTCAATACCAAGTAGGCACTTTCAGAGAAACCGCGTAGCTGTTGACGAACATGGCTCGTGTTTGGATGTCGGAGGGTTTGAGGATTTGTGAACTGCTCAGCCTGGCCTTTGAAAGTCTATCTTGTCGTTCGTGTTCCTGCTGCTGTCCCTCTTTCTTGCACTATCTCTTGTTCTCCAGCGCACCTTGGCCTCTTCTTCTTTCTGTCTTCTCTTGGTGCTTTTTTTTCACTGGTTGCAGGTTTCTCTCGCCCGTCTCTCCGTCTGAGCTTCCTGGCCGCAGGCTTACGGCATCAAAGACTTCAAGCATGCTACGAACAAGGACAGAGAGCAAGGTTCATGGCACAAGAGTTGCAGTTCTAAATATATGTTATAATATACTATTAATATACTATAATATACCATAACATACTATCATATACTATAATGTACTATAATATATTTTAATATACTAAAATTGAGATTCCCTTCTGGCCTTGAATGCTGCATCCACATGCGATGCTACCAGAAAACCCAGAACCCTCTGCGAAGATATGCTTGCAAATTCATTGTAGTTTGGGAGCATGTGGCAGAGCGCGTATTTTTTTTTTCCCCCGGGGGGGGTCCCGACAAGCCAGTGAGCGGAGTTCCCGCTGGACTGGCGTCGGGACTCTTGACACCGTTTTGATTGGGGCAAAGTCATTTTCAACCTCTTCTTTAGCTAAAGATTGAGAGTTTCTGCTCTGTCTCGTCATTAGCTTCCACTGACCATCGGCTTTTGATTGCGTTGCATGCAGCCCTCTTGACCTATCACGAGGAGCTCCAGAAGTCTCTGGACACTGTGGACAAGCCAGACGACCCGTTCTTCAACAGGACCGTTTGAGTGCAAATCTTCAGTCCCTAAAATCGCCTTCAGGCCCCTTTTCTCTCGTCAATCTGTCAGAACATCTCCCAAGGTTCTGTCCTACAAAGCATTCGCAGATGCGTCTCATTTGAAGGCTGGTGCGCATTCTTTCTACGCGATGCATGGAGCCAGCGAGGCATCTTGACCTGAGGAATGAAGCATAGCTCCCTTGCATATGTTTAGCCAGTGCACTGCAGGTATTTCTGCACTGGAGATAGAGAACTCGAGAAGGGCGAGTGGGCGCACTTCGGTTTGGCAGCTTTGGCAGCAAGAGCTTTTGATATTGGCGTTTGGGCTTGGTGTCGCTGATGCTTTTGAGCTGTCCATATAGGTGGTGTCAGCACTGCCAGAGCCATAACCATCAACGAGCTTCATCTCCACTAGCGAAAGAATCACATGATCCGTGCTGTGATGGGTACATTAACATTATGCCAATTTTCATGTTCATCGACATCACGGTTCACATATCGAATCATCTTCGTCATGATGATGATGACGATGATGATGATGCTTTGGTGCTGCTGATGATGACGACTATCATCATCAAACGTCGAGCTTGTGAGGTTGGTCCCAGGATGCATCTACCCAGTTCCATGGGTCGTGTTTTAATGAGCCCAACGCAAGACCTGCCAGCAGAACCGCAGAAGGTCGGAGGGTGGAGGGTCGAAGGCTGAGACGGGGAGGGTGACAACACCCTCTGACTGCAACTCAGACTGTCATCAAAGCCGTCACGCGCATCATCCTTTCCTTCCTCCTCATCGCCGCCATTACCATCATCATCGTCAGCATCATCGCCATCATCTTAAGCATGATGCATGCTCGTTACCTGCGCTTTCATCATGTGCGACATTTTGGTTCAGCTTGGATGAACCACGCAAGGCGATGGACCACTATACGCACTTCACTTCCCCGATCCGACGATATGCCGATGTCGTGGCTTCGAAGCACTGAGGATGACTTGAGTTGTGTTCCGGCTTATGGAGCAAGTTACAGTTGTGGAATTCGCTGTCATTAACAGCATCGTCACCATCACCATCAGCATCATCAGCATCATCAGCATCATCAGCATCATCATCATCAACATCATCAGCATCATCAGCATCAGCAGCATCATCAGCATCAGCAGCATCATCAGCATCATCAACATCATCAGCATCATCAGCATCATCATCAACATCATCATCAGCAGCATCATCACCATCATCACCATCATCGTCGCCATCGTCATTGTCATCATCACACATTATCGCCGTCACCCGCGCCATACCGTTGATACTATAGCACATCTGCAGACATCAATCTGCAAGGCCTCAGTGTACCCAGAACCTATATCAACGTTCCCAGACAAAAGTCTGGAGCTATCCGGAACAGCAAAACGTTGAAGATCTCGGCCCTGCCTCCCAGCTTGTGCATCGGCTGCTGGCCGCTTCGCAAGGCTCTGTTCCTGGCGTTTCAAGCTTCCAAGGGTTGTTCACGGTTTCGGTGACTGAGGATGGGCTCAGTTTCGGTTTGCCGGTCTGCGCGACGATGGGAGTTGTCCAACCCTGTCGGGATTTGGCGAGCACGCCGCGTTCTTCTCTCTCCCTACGACCCGGGACGTACCACGTCATTGATTGGGATGATTGCGAAGTTGACGAGACTAGACTCAAAGAGTGTAGCATTTCGAGGCCACCATGAGGGACGCATCCTTTGTCAGACCCGGTGGACCTCCGCAACAAGCACTCCTAGTCCTCGCCCCGCTAAAGAACTTGTACTTGAAGCAGACGTGGAAAGCCCAAAATCCGATTCGCGCGAATCGTTCCTACAGACAGCGATTATCTTCGAGACTTGCTGAGGGCTTGCCCTTTGGCCTCCAGCCCCCAGACTGCCCCCGTTTCTTTGTTGTGCTCGTGCTGCTCGGTCTCATCACTATTTGAGAGCTTGTTGTCATGATAGTACTTGTAGTTCGTTATATCTGTCACCACAACGGAAAGAAAGCAGTTCTATACACTTATTTTATCGTGCCGATTGTGATGAACAGCCTCGGCCGCGTCAGGCTTCGAAGAGGTGCCGACGGTGCTCCGAAGTCCCCAGGAGTGCTTCGCCGTGCTCACACGACTTACCTTTGGTTAGTAGGGAATGGAAGAATGGTAGTAATAGTAGTAATATGGTAGTAATATGATAGTAATATGGTAGTATTATGATAGTAAGATGGTAGTAATATGGTAGCAGTATGGGAGTTAATAGTAGTTCTAACAGTACCCCCATTCCTCCATTCCCTACTAACCAAAAGTAAGACGATTTGGAACATCGTGCGAAGTTTGGATTGCTGACACGCGGCACCATGTTATCCGGAAGTGGCGCAGTGCATTTCGGTTGAAGTGTAACTCGTTGGGCCGCCGTTCCTGGTCCTCCTATATTACCTCAAATGATGTAGCGAAAACTAACAAGTCGAACGGCTGGTATTGTCTCTCATGGGACCCACGGTTTCGCTTGCGTGTAATATCAGCTCCAAGGCGTCACGGATGGGCACGGAAGCACGCAGGATCTTCCGAAACCAGCAACCATGTAAGGCCCAAGCCAGCCTCGTGGCACTCGCAGATTTCTTGCTTGGGTGGCCGCTTCTCGTGGCGGTGGTCAGCTAGCCCTCAACAGTGCTTCTTCCAACAAGAGTGAGAAGGCTTTTTCGTGACCTGCGGCTTCATGCGTTTGCGCTATTCGCCGCGCTTGGAAGCCTCCTCAGTAGCTCCACGCCCAAAGAAGTTTCAGCCCCGAGCACGAGGAGATCAAAGATGCTTGCGAGCACATGAACATCAAGCACAGGCCAGTGGGCTCAAGCTTCAGGGTTCGGGTTTCTTCCAGCTGCAGCTGTGGCATGCGCGATTTGCTTCAGTTCGGACATAGCTGGCATCGGGTTCCTTGCCAAATGAGCAAACTGCAGGTTTTAAGGCAATGAGCAGCCAGTGGCTGAAGTAGCTCCCGATCTGCTCACCTACTTTGTTGCCCACCTCGCGCCAGGAATGCCCAATATGCGGACCGGAGCTCTGTGAAACTGCATCAGTACCAGTGGCCTACTTGCAACACAGACGACTTAGTACTTTCAATGCTCGGGTGCCCGAAGCACGTTGCATGTAGGATGGCGTGTAGGTTGTTCTCAGAGATGAAGCTGTGAGTCATCACGGATGTGGATCTGTCCATCCTAAACCCTGCTCGGAGCTCTAGGAGACATACAGCTGCAGATTTCCTCACATCGGTTCATTACTCGGTTAGTTCTCTTGTTGCTATCCAGAATTAATTCTCCAACTTTTGAGTGATAAGGTGCTTATGGAGACGCGGATGGTGGCGATGATGATGATGATGACGATGATGACGATGATGATGATGACGATGTGTTTGACGACGATGATGAGGATGGTGAATCGAACAACAACCAGGAGTGCTGACAATGATACTGACACCGAATAGTGATGACAATGTTGAAGAAGTCAGAAAATGGTGCTTCGTGAGAACATGACCATGAAGGAGGAAGACGACTGGGGCCTTTGCTGTCGGATCGCAAACGCTGATGATGCTTGCGATGAGGTATCGGTGACGGTGGAGATGTGTCATGAGGGTTGGGTGACAGTTCCATTGTCACATGGATGGCCAGGGTTGCTCTGATGAGGCTCTTTCAAGACCGCGGCCCAACGGCTTCTCAGCAGAGCTCTTGGAACTTGGAGTTTGAAGTTCAAATGTGGCGATGCTTTCCAGTGAGGCTTTGGTCTGTAGTGCTGATAGGATAGAACAGCTTCGCCACCACGCGATGGCGATGGTTTCACTTCACATGGTGTGCTTCGATAGGAGCTGCTCACATTTCCACATCCCTGCCATCCCTACTTCCAGAGTGGTATCACAGCAGGCCATAACATGTTCCTGATGCCTTGCTTTCCCATCGAGCTGCAGATTCCTCGCTTAAGGTTGCCGAAGGCGTCATCATGCGTGTGGTGCACCTTGACCGTCCGCAAGAGGGTTCATTTTCTGGACTTGGCCACGCGGTGCTCAGTGAGGCAATGTTGCGGAGAACACAGATAAGCTGAAAAAGTGCAGCGGCAAAGCTTTCCTCAAGTCCTTGAGCTTGACAATCCGACTTGTTCGTGCGCATGTATAGGGGTAAAGAAGTGATGGCTTTGCACGTTTGCCTGGTTCTGAATTTGCAAGAGGAAAAGACATGATACTGTAATAACGAAGATAGTGTGCACACCTAAAGTTGACATTGCATAATCAAGCTAACACATGACGTAGCATCGATTGGCAGAATTCAACACAACTTTGCCATTTTAACATACGGGTATACGACGTGGTACAACATGCTCTAAAGTCATGTAACATAATCGGGCATGGTACAACACGGTATGACACAGTGTAACATGAAATAGTACAACACAAGACAGCATATTACATCATAACGTTACACTGTACAATGAACTACAGTGTTGTACAGCATTTGGCAAGATGTAAAATTGGAAACCGTATATGCTAATGCAGCCAGCATAACATAGCAGAGTAAGTATCCCGGACCAAGAGTATTCTATGATCTTGAATATTTAAACTAGGGTTTTGAGTTTTGGGGTCCGTTATACTATGACTATAATTATCATAAGGACCCCCAAAACAGTATTGGTAAAAGACTATGTAGGCCCCTATAGTAGCTCTCTCCAAGGCCGGAGGGCATCTCCGTGGCGATCGAAGAGTATGGAGCAGAAGGTACCGCGAAGCTCAGTGGTCAGCCGCTTGTCCCAAAGCCCATGTCATCTCGCTGGACATGTGTGAGCTAAAGCTGTTTGTGGAATATCTCAACATCGAGTAGATTGGACCACCGAGAGATTCGGGGTAGGATCCTACTGCGTGATGTAGAGTTTCTCATGCAGGAAAGTCTTGGCCAACAAGAGTGTACAGGTCCCGGATTCGGTTGACACTCCATGTTTCAGGGGCAGGGGGGTTCAGAACAACTTTGCCTGCTCGTGCGTGAAGAAGGCCAGGCGCCAGACCAGGACTACACTGGCACTGAAAACACGAAGAACCGCAGGGTCATTCAATGTGGGACAGTTGGCAAATAACTCTATAGCTTGCTGGGAGGTGGTGGTTGTGCTGGCAGTAGTAGTAGTAGTAGTAGTAGTAGTAGTAGTAGTAGTAGTAGTAGTAGTAGTAGTAGTAGCAGTAGCAGTAGCAGTAGCAGTAGCAGTAGCAGGAGTAGTAGTAGTAGTAGTAGTAGTAGTAGTAGTAGTAGTAGTAGTAGTAGTAGTAGTAGTAGTAGTAGTAGTAGTGGTGGTAGTGGTAGTACACTACATCACAGCGGGCTTGGTGATATCATTCCAGCATAGCGAGACACCCCACAACACATGAAATTTGAAATCACCGGCTGCTGGCCCTTGCAAGCGTGGAAGCCACGAGCACAATCTGAGGAACTGGTTGATCATCCTCGAGCCGCGGACAAGAGAGCTTTAAGCGTAGCGGCCTAGGGACGAGGGAATCAGTTCGTCTTGGCATTGGTTCGTTTGGGGGCTTTGCGTGCCCTGCCCGGGTCACAAAGTCCAAGCTTTGGTCAGGTTGCAAGTAACAAGGCTACCGTGGCTTCAGGGATAGCTTGGGTTGCCGGCCCACAAAGTCTGGCCGCATATTATGGGCGGGCCTTGTTGTGGGGTGTCAAGGCACTTGCAATAGACGCTAGCCGCTAGCTAGTTTGAGTCTGGAGGGATGGGAGAAGTTGCAGGTCGTTTTCAGCCATGCACCGAGAGCTCCCCTTGCCGATACTACAGCCCTATAGTCTTTCCCCCCCCCTCCACCCGTGCCCGTGCCCAAGCCAAGGACAAGCAAACAGCCTATGGCAGACCCCGCACAAAGTTCGAAGGCATCAACATGAAAGTCTTCGACCGTCGCTTGAGCTGAGAGTGTTGACAGGGTGGCTTTGCTGTGGAACCCAAAGACTCAAGTACAAGGGTTACCATAGCATTCCGTAAGCAGCGGCTACTCTCAGCGCACCATCACTACGACTGCTACTGTTTCTGCTCCTGCCACTCCCACTGCCACTGCCTGCCCGTAACTCATTAGAACCCGGTTTCCTTCACCCTAGCCCATGCCTGAATACCAAGTTCCCAATCTTGCGGATGCACTCCAACTTCGATTGGCCAGCCCAGGCGTTGTGGTTAGTATCGAGGCGGACTTGCAAGACCTGAGTCACAGAGAATTGAGATTCACGCAGCTTGGCTAGAGAGAGTACTGCTGTGCGACAGTTCGGACGGCCAGCAGACGTGCTCTTTCCAACTTCTCAAGACATCACGGCATAGCGAGGTGGCTCCTTCAGATACGCCTTGGAGCCTCCTTCTCCCTTGCTGTCATTGAACATAGCAAGAGACCGGCGTCCCCAGAAGAGTGAGACATCAGGTCTCACGCATAATGAACACGATGCCAATTTTTCGCTCTCTTGTGGCCTTACAGAACCCCCCTTTTTGCAGCTTGCAGAGCTCCACCCCTTCTTTACTCCAAGGTTCCTTGGAATGCCGAGACTTGGTCGGAGCTTTGGGCAGGGTCTGAAGTCATGTGCAAAGCTACTGGGAGACCGTTGAATCAAATGAATTAATACATTATATTATAATTAATGATATCCCTTTCAAACGGATTCCAAGCCAGTTTGCACTTTCCGATCAAGATGTTCAACTCGCCCTCCTCCACCCGCAAGAAAATCTACAACACCCTCAGAAAAAGATATCTCTTGGGCGGGTCCTAAAGCCCGGAAAACCGGAAGTTGCTGGATTTGGGTTCCTACAGAGGGTGTAGTGGATATTTGGCAGCTTACAAGAGTTGCGGCTGATGTTGTGCTCTAAGTACATAATGCACTATGAGTTTGCCAGGCAACCACATTGCAGTCCTAAGCCCTAAACCCTAAAGCCCTAAAGCAGATTTCTAGAAGACGCAAAGGCTCCCTGGGCTGGTCAAGAGACCCCAAGGACATATCGGCCAGATGGGAAGCTGGCCCCTGTTCCTACTGCACCCGGAAATTCGGCTCCGGAGGCAGGGAGGGTTTTCCGGGGATTCGGCAGCATTGTCAGTATTAGTTGCTACAAGATGCATCTGCTAACAGTTTCACGCAGGATTTGCAACATGCTTCAGGGCCCAGATTGCAAGGAGTGCTTCATCTGCCATAGGTCTGCATGATCTCACATCAAATGGAGGTGTCAAGAACTCAGCACGAGGTCCAAAACCGCCTCTGCCCTTGCATTCTGAGACACGGTGCATCAAGGCTGAGGTAGAGAAGTTGTAGGCTTCGGCTTAGGATCCCGCGACTTCATGCTTACCCAGGCTACGCTTGTGAACTCCGGTAGCTACAGAATCCTCCACCAAAACCCCAAAATAAGATCCCCCCCACCCCCCTTCCAGCCCCGCTTCCCAGGCGCCTGAGCTCCCGAAGATGCCGAAACTCCCTGAGCTCCCTGACCTCCCTGACCTCCCTAAGCTGCCTGAGCTCCCTGCAGAGCCTGCGGCATGAGCAAAAAGACGTCCTACTATGCAAGGGCCGCGAGCGAAGATCAAGAGTGAACCATGCAGACTTTGCGAATTCTATACATCTGACTTCTAGCGTGATTTATGGGATTGCAAGGGCACTGGAGCTCTGTATGCGCCTATAAGATGCGTACAGTTGCCAGCCAAGCAATCTGTAGTTGTGATTTTCGAGATTAAGGCTTGGGTTGGATCTGCCACTTTTTTTGCCCAGGTTACATCTTGAAGATTTCTCAAGCTCCTAGCTTGGTAACATCTGGGCTCAGCTTTCCAAATTCCTCCCGCTTTTGTACATCTGGTGGGAAGCCCGGCGCACAAAGAGGCGCGGGTGGGCGCCGGATGAGCGTTTTGCGCATGGCTTCTGAGTGCGATCGCGGTATCGACAAGCACGAAGCTGGTGATGATGTGGCTCTTGGTGATGATACAGATGAAGATCAAGAAGGTTAATGATGCGTTTGACAATCATTATCTTTTTGCTGGTGATAGTGGTTACATGTTCCCAATTCACTCACACAGTTACTGCGGCTGCTGCTACTACTGCTGCTGCTGCTGCCACTGCTGTTTCTGCCTCTCCTACAAATACTCGTACTCGGAATAGTAGTAGTAGTAGTAGTAGTAGTAGTAGTAGTAGTAGTAGTAGTAGTAGTAGTCGTCGTAGTGGTAGCAGTAGTAGTAGTCGGAGTAGTCGTCGCAGTAGCAGTAGCAGTAGCAGTAGCAGTAGGAGTAGGAGTAGGAGTAGGAGTAGTAATAGTAGTAGTAGTAGTAGTAGTAGTAGTAGTAGTAGTAGTAGTAGAGTAGTAGTAGTAGTAGTAGTAGTAGTAGTAGTAGTAGTAGTAGTAGTAGTAGTAGTAGTAGCAGTCGTAGTGGTAAGAGTTATAGCAACAGTGATCGCAATATCAACGGCAACGGCAATGGTCATGGCAAAAGAGAATAAAATCATCGTGTTAGTACTGTAGTAATCGCAACGAGAGCATGGTCGTAGTTGCAGCATATCTTGCAAGAACCATCACCATCATCACCATCATCATAACATAACCATCATCTTCAGCATCATCATCATCCCCACCCTCCTCCACAGACTCGTCCCCCCCATCCCCATCATCATCACCAAGGAATCGGCGACCGTAGTATTACACACATATTTAATAGCCAAACGATTCCTATCCAAACCTCGAAGATCGGAACTGTTGCTACTACAAGAGGAGCGTATCCAGGTAGCATGGGCAACACCCTGGGCTGCGAGGGCCCAGAGATCTTCGAAGAAGCGCCCGTCCCAAAGGACCCTGATCGTGGCCAGCCCGCAGCACAATACGGGGCCCAAAAGACAGATAGCCAATATTGTTTTGGGGCTCCTTATCATAGTTATAGTCGAACATACCGCTAAAAGTCGCATTCTGATTATCAAGGCCCTCTTTTGGATCGATTGACCCGGCTTCGGAGGACCAGAGAATTTGAAGGTGTTGGTGATGCACGTAGTGGCGTAGTGTCTTCTGTAAAGGGAGACGTCGACCCCTCTTCGATCTGCAAGCAAATCCTGCATTGCAGCAACAAGTGTTGTGTTGAATATCAGCGAATGCTTCATCAATGTTGAAGAAGACAATTCACAGATTGCCACAACGGAACCCTTGCCAAATCAGCGTGTGACTTTCGCACATAGACTCGCTGTGGCTCAGTGGGCACCGGTTCAGTCGAGATACATGCTGAATCGTGAAAGCCCACCGGACGCCACCATTGCAAATGTCACAAGAGCGATGGTATCTATCTCACCGTTATACTGTTCTATATGATCCCATTATGCTATGATACAGGTATACTACTATTAGATTAATATACTATTAACGGCCATACTTTATTTTGCTTATTAAAATCATGACAACTGATATGCAGACACCCGGCTAACAGCTTGAAGCTGACAGAAGATCAACGGATCCCGATGGGCCAGGCCGGGGTCGAGGACCACCTCCATGTTCGACAGGCTCCAGTCGTAGTACTACCCTAAGGCCTTTTTGGGGTTCAGATTTAGAATCTCATGAGGTAATCCCAAAAAGGAACTACTTTGGGGCTTATGGGTAGTAGTAGCAATATCAATAGTACTGTTAATAAACAGGCTTCTGCTTCGCAGGAGCGAAAACTGGTTGAGCCAAGAATGGTTGGCTACTGCTGTCTCAGGAATCCACTTGCCCCTTCATCCTCTTTTCCAACATGCCCGAACAAAAAATACCCAACCCTGAAGTCTGGTCAGTACGGGATGTTAGCAGTCAGCTCAGGCCTCAGTGCATATGCCGGCAGTGGACCATGGCGGCTTGGCTTTCCAGCACAGTTCGAGTGGGCTGTAAGCATCAAGAAGGTACTAGAAAGGCCTGCACGGCTTTTTGTTTCAGCCTTGCTGATTTGTCCGGCAACGCATGTGCCATTCTCTGGCAGATAAGAAGCAGGGAGCTGGGAAACCCGAGTAAGTCAAGTCTCCATGCTCTTAGCTCTAGCTTAGGTACACCTGCCGGCCGGATGGCGGAAATCCGCTTCGCTTCGCAAAGAAAGGCATCGCCAGCTCTGGTGGCTGTGCAGCGGTGGCTCGAGCCCAATATGTCGATTCATTCTCCCTCCCTCCCTCCCTCTCTCCCTCCCTCCCGTCTCGCTCGCTTGCTCAAGAGCTCTCTCGCTTGCTGGAATACTTGCAGCCCGTCCCTGGCCTTGTCATTTTTTGCACCTCTTGTCCTCGCTGCGACTCAAGGGCGCGACCCTGTTGAGGGCAGCTCTTCGCCCTTCAGAACCGATCACCCAGCAAGAGTTTTGCGGTACCCTTTTGCCCTGCGTAGCAGAGTGCACCATTGCCGTAGACGAGCTCGAAGTCCTCCATACGGCTTTTAAAATTGGCACTACATGGATCGCCTTTCAGGAAACCTTCCCATCGATGCTGAAGAGAGCAGCCGAATCGAAAGGAGACAAGCCCGCGATGAAGGCTGAAACCCGAGCTGGTTTCCGAAAGGGGCTTCACATGAATTACTCGTCGAACGAGTGCTGCAAGCTAGTTACAGCTAGTTTGAGATTTCTCGGATCGGTCTGGGTTCAAGCTACGTAAAAGTCCAGCAACGAACGTTGTTGTTTGGAGTTGGGTTCATTTTCCAGGGCACAGCCCGCACCAAGCAGCGAACGAAAGCTGTTTGCTGTAGCCTGCACAGGTGGAGCGGCCTCTGCCACCCCAGGACAAGGCCACGGGAGACCCGAAGCCGTAGACGGCCAACGAACTTTTGGGGAGGCGTGTCTTTGCAGCGGACTGAGTCTTGTTGACTGTCACCCCGCGCCCCCCCCGCCGCTACCAGGGCCTAAGCCACAGTCGCGGGTCGTGCGGTCAGAAGGCGATGACCTGCAATGATGTTCAGACTCTCCTTTGCTGAAGGATTGGCTTGAAATCTTTCGTCAAGACACAAAAGGGGGGCCGATCACCCCACAATCGAGGCATCGCCATCTTCCATGGCTTCGAGCCAAAATCTCCTGACACCATCTGACACCCATATTTCAGTGACAGAAGTCGGAGTTGATGATGACCTCTGCAGGCCCTTGGAGCTTAGGTGATCTTCGGTAGTTCCAGAGATGCACAGTGCAACTCTCCCCAGGGCCTTTGGCTTCACAGCTGCCTGTGACGTTCTCTGCCCGTGGGCTCGTGAATTCGTCGCTTTTGTCAGGACGGCACGGTCCCGCCTGCACTTCCGGACGAGGACTCTTCAGGGAAACAAAGGGAGGGTGGTCCCCGCTGCCCTGCGAGACTCCTGCAAAGGCGAAAGGCTGAACCCCAAAGCTGACAGCCTTATGCGTTTCATGAACAGACACAGCTCGTCTATGGATCAGAGGTTCAGCCTCAACTACAGGATCGCCATGTGTGGCCAACCTGTAGGCCTAGGCGCTAAACCAGGCAGAGCCCTGCTACGGCACCGCAATCTTGACACCTGCAAATGCAAGGAGTGGACGACCTGGACTTTCAAGGACTACTACCGTGATGCGCGTCGAGCAGCTCGCGCCTTCCTCAAGCTCGGCCGCATGGCATAAGCAAGGTTTTAGCAAAGCACACCAATCCCATAAAGCTATCCCGTCATATCAGACAAATCACAGCCCTTTTGTTGATGTGCGGCCCAGCAGTAATGCCCTGAATACACCGATGCCCTGTGTTCCGGGTTTGCGAGGTCAGCGTAACGATATCATCTTCCTCGAACACGGGCCACTGTTAGACTACGGAAGCCTTGGAAGCAACCTCCCGGATGGCATGAGGCGCCAAGGTACCCAGGTACTTGTCATCCCCAGCCCTGCCCCTCGAGCATGCTTTTTGTGTAGTTCCCACACTTGTCCCGCACGATATCCAAGCAACTACTTTCGCTTAAGGAGGGGATGTTTGAAGTACCCTAAACCCTAAACCCTATATAAGCCCTATAAACCCTATAAACCCCATAAACCCTACACCCCTAAACCCTAAACCCCTAAACTTCTTATTCTCATGGTGACGAGCCAGGTCTCCAGCCCTATGACTCCGTGAGCGTTTGGGGCTTCAATGCTCCCGAATGGCCCCTTGGGGCGTCGAATTAGCTAGGGTTTGATTTTCTTATCTTGGTTCTCAGTCGATATCTGTCGATTTAGTTTGGATTTGATTCTCTTGGAGGGCTGAAGAGTTGCTGCTGGAGGGAGTCCCGTCTCACTCGATATCTGGGTTTCGGCATTTACCCGTGCTTGAACCGTGACCGGTGCAGCTTTCGGCAGCGACGGATACCCAGGGACACGCTCCTTACCATTAATGTGACTAACTATGATTATCACTATTAACTAGCCATGTCCTCAAATTTTGAGCACTCTGGGGCCAGTAGCTTGAACTGTGCACCTGAGAGGTTTTGCGAGGGTCCTTCTTAAGTCTGTAAGCCAATCTCAGTTTAGGGGGACTCCCCGGATAGTCCCCCTAAGCCGTAAACCCCTAAGCCCTAAATCCTACACCCCAGGCAAGACAGCCCGTTGTCAATTTTAGGGTCCTTTTAGGGTCCTTATTTTCATACCCTAGTATTTAGGGTACCCAGAAAGGCATCATAATTTTGACACCACCCATTTGTTGTTGTTGTTGTTGGTACAGACAAAAACAGCAGCCCGTACTTGTTGGTAATTAGAAGCAATTGGGAATGCTTCCGGCGACCACATAGGGTGCCTGTAGAGTTTTGGGAAGTTCAAGCCTTGCCTGCCCCATGATAGAAATGCGGTGTAGGCTGGTAGTAGAGGCAAAAACTGGAGCCCCGTCTGTTGTTTTGACCACCCCCCCTTTACAACAACCGCCCACATTACACCACATTTCCACCACAGGTATAAGAATCTGCGATATCCAGAAGGGGTTCTGTTGGGTGTTGGAAGGGCTTGTCTGGAATTTTGAGGGGTTTGCATTGGATACCCGTACACTCAAAACTATAGTTACCAGTTACTATACAGTAGTTTGCACAGGCCTCGCAAATGCATATTCTGCACGGCGGGGACCTGAAATACACACCAAACCCATTGAAAATACACACCAAAATCATTGACATACACACCAAATGCACTGAAATACACACCGAACCCACTGAAATACACACCAAATGCACACCAAATCCAGCGAAATACACATTAAATCCACTGAAGTACACACCAAATCCATTGAAATACACACGAAATCCATTGAAATACACACGAAATCCATTGAAATACACATCAAATCCACTGAACTCCGCACCAAATCCATTGAACTACACGCGCAATCCACTGAAATACACGCGAAATCCACTGAAATACGCACCAAATCCACTGAAATACACACGAAATCCATTGAAACACACACCAAATCCACTGAAGTACAGACGAAATCCATTGAAAATACACACCAAACAGTATACATCACAGGCATCCACAGGCACTCTGTTGTTGTTGTTGTTGTTGTTGTTGGGGGGGGGGGTAAAACAACATGACGGGGCTCCTGTTTTTGTCTCTACCTAATGTACAGACAAAAAGCAGATATATGGGTTGACGGGGCTGCAGTTTTTGTTTGTACCTTGTTGTTGTTGTTGTTGTTGTTGTTGTTGTTGTTGTTGTTGTTGTTGTTGTTGTTGTTGTTTTGTTGTTGTTGTTGTTGTTGTTGTTGTTGTTGTTGTTGTTGTTGTTGTTGTTGTTGTTGTTGTTGTTGTTGTTGTTGTTGTTGTTGTTGTTGTTGTTGTTGTTGTTGTTGTTGTTGTTGTTGTTGTTGTTGTTTGTTGTTGTTTGTTGTTGTTTGTTGTTGTTTGTTGTTGTTTGTTGTTGTTGTTGTTGTTGTTGTTGTTGTTGTTGTTGTTGTTGTTGTTGTTGTTGTTGTTGTTGTTGTTGTTGTTGTTGTTCTTGTTCTTGTTCTTGTTCTTGTTCTTGTTCTTGTTCTTGTTCTTGTTCTTGTTCTTGTTCTTGTTCTTGTTCTTGTTCTTGTTCTTGTTCTTGTTCTTGTTCTTGTTCTTGTTCTTGTTCTTGTTCTTGTTCTTGTTCTTGTTCTTGTTGTTTCCTTCAGGGCTTTTACCATGGCTGGAGCAACGATGGTTGGGGCCAAGCTGCCTGGATGCAGCCGGGTTCCCCACAGGGGTCTAGGGTTTAGGGGTTTAGGGTTTAGGATTTAGGGTTTAGGGTTTTAGGGGTTTAGGGTTTAGGGTTTGTGTTTTGGCGGGGGGGTGGGGGGGTGGGGATGTAATGCAGTAAGCCAGGCTTTCGTAATGTGGTTTGACCGTTTAGGATTTGAGATGGTTTCCTGATCTGTGCATCGCAACAATGATGTCATCAGGATACAGCGGTATGGCATAGTATGGCAACACGAGGCTTCCGTGCAAGTCTGTCGATAAAGCCTTACCATGATTTCAGCATGCATCTTGTGTTTGCAACTCGGGCCTGTAACGCGCAAACGTGCTTCCCCAAATGTGGGCAGTTTGTGCATTCCTTGTGTGCATTCCTGCGGCACTATGTCACTATGAATAAAGCATGGCAGGGCTTGCGCTTCAATCCCGGACTCCTCAAGGCGTCAACCTCCCACCCCAAACCCGAAAACCCTACGATCCCAACCGCCTCAACCCCGTTGACCCAAACCTCTAGGATATGCTAGGATCCCTATTGTATGGGCCCCTCAAGAAATAAGGCACTTCCAATCCTACCAGTCTTCCAACTTCCTGAATCGAGGCTCGCCGGGTTGTACCCTACCGACACCCCTGACACGGCAGCTTTCAAAGTCGCGCACAGCGGAGCGCCCTGGTGGCCTTAGTCGGGGGCCTAGGCCGCAAGCCCGGACCCGTAACCCCAAGACTGTGCACGGTAGACCGCTTCGGGCTTGTAGAGTACCTGCAGACACGAGTAAATAGGGCTATGTCTTGACCACATGTCTTGGAAGATGGGCCTGCAATCGGAAGGTGGCATTACAGCATCTTGGTGTAGAACGCTTAGATCAAGGTCGAAGGATTTGTCTGGCCTTAGTCCTGGCAGCAGGTGGATTGAAAGGGGGCGCAGGCAGCTTCAATTGAGATTTGCTTTCACAAATCCCCGCAGCTTCCAGCTGTTCTAATTTCAGAGTCTCTTGCATGGAGCCCTCTCGTGCCCCTACTAAAACAAGCCGAAGGATCAATGAATTCCAAAGTTGCTACTGACCCAAGGCTGCGGTGGTGGTGTATGAGGACAAGAACAAGCTGGACAGGCCAAGAGTAAACCGGTACTGGCTAGCTAGGGATGGCTTGTATGACTCTTGGCACTTAGACTGTTGCTCACTATTCCTTGTAATTACCCTTCAAGACGCCTACCTCGAACATGTGCTATTGCACGTTCGCTGTTCCTGACTGTGCTCGTAGTGTTACCACTTGAGTGGCGGGGGCAGATGGTGGATATGCTGATGCTTATTCTTAGTTCTGGTTTGCTGACTATTGCTACTAATAAGCAGCTAAGTATTGCTAACTATCTGTCTCATTGTCATGGCAGGCTTTTTGACATTTGTCTGTAAAAGTTAGCAACTAAGTTCTGTTAACAGCTACCTTTCTCATTGTCGTGGCATGCTTGTTGACGTTTGTCTTGTTGGTAATGTCATTCGACTCAGTCAGACCTATCCTTGTCCTGCGCGGCTGCCCCAAGCCCGAAGTCCTGTACCTTACGAAGTTTTTACTCGTACTATTAGCAATGTGATTATTATGCTTTATCATATAGAACAATGTCATTGTAATGCTATATAACATTTTTTTGGAGATTGATCGCTGCAGGCTAGTGAAAGCACTCAATGCACGAAGCGATCCCAAGCTTCCACGTGCCCGAAGCTCAGGCTGCGAGGAGTGAGCTGTCAGTTGTACTCATTTGTGTTTTACACTATAAGAGTATATTTACGCTATAAGAGTGTATTTTGGTGTATTTGTGTCTTTGTATCAAGTCAAGTCAGTAGGTGTCCCTGGGTATCCGCATGCGGGCAGGTGCACATCTCATGTTTTTGTTGTCCGCTCACTGAACATGGCGCACAAGGTTGTTTAACTAGCTGAGCAAGCATGCACATAATTCGTAGATAAGCAAGTCCTATCCATATAAATATGGGAAAACATATATATATATATATGTATATATATATATATATACATAACATTCACAGATTCTACATGCATGCATACATACATACTGAGACCCACCGCATACCTGCAATCACGCAAAAGTGCATGTTCAAGAACACCTGCACGTGCTTAAGCTGGCTGTCAGTCAGTCAGCTTTTCTGCCTGTGTTCGTCGCTGTCTGTTCTTCTTGCTGGAAACAAGGTTTGCTTTTCTTGCACGCGTTACGTACTGATGTAGGTATGTATGCATGTATGCATGTACGATTTACGTTTTTGTATGTATATATGCGTGTATGCATGTCTGTATGTGTAACATGTGCTGTGTCTAATGTGTCTAGTGCATGAGGTGCATGTAGTGCATGCAATGCACCTAAATGTTGTATGTATGTATGTATGTATGTATGCACGAATGTACGTGCGCATGTAGCCTTATAAGTGTGTATGTATTTATGCATGCATGTACACATGTCTGCATATCTGCCTGTCAACATCTATGTACGCATGCATGCTTGCATGCATGGACGGATGGGTTTGTATGTGTGCAGTGTAAGTATGTATGTATGTATGTATGTATGTACGAGAGATGGATAGGTAGATGGCTGGACAAATAGATAGATAAGATATGTCATGAGATGACGAGACAGATAGGTCGATAGTTAGATAGATAGGTAGATAAGTAGAGAGAGATAGATAGAGAGATAGATGGGCAGTCAGATTAGGTAATAGATTCAGTTAGATAGAAAACTAGTTAGATAGATAGATAGATAGATAGATAGATAGATACACATATAGACAGACAGATTCGATAAATATTATCAGATAGGTAGACGGGCAGGCAGGTATGTAGTTTCACAGGTGCGTACACATGTGTTTGTGCGTGGTTTCTGCACGGGTACCAATTCGCGCACAAGCACATATACACGCATGAATATGGCGCAGACATGCCATTGAGACTCAAGCGACCCGTTCATGATATACTGCTGTAGCTCTGGTGTGTACTCGCACGAAGGTGAGTGTGTACATACGCATGTGAATACATACCGGATATGACCAAACATACCTGCATATTTCTCCTGTGTCTTTTTCCTTGTTTATCGTTACAGGCATGCGTACATGTGCCAGCAGGCATAGATGTATGCAAGTATGCATGCCCCACATGCGCATAATCGCAAAATCATGTAGCAGAATGCCCATTGACAAAAACAAATGGCTCTTCATCGTGTTGCATCGCACAATGCAGGCCAACCTTCATCTTGGACGGTTTCGTGAGTGTTGTAACCATCCCCACTCTGATTCTGAAGGATGGCAGTCTTGCTGGTTCGCACATGACACGGCATCATTGCAGATAAATACGAAGATAAGCATGCATGCAACTAGTTGAGTACAAAACCTAGCATACACAATATCACACCATCATACAATGCAGTGTAGCTGAGAGTGCTTTGAGTCGGAGACTTGATGGAAAGTCTATCGTAGCATCGGACAGGATGTTTCTTTAGGTCTGCACTAGGGATTTGGACATTGCCCGTTGTTTCTTTTGCCAAGCTGTGTTGCTTTTCATTGTTTTTGCCACTGCCTCTAGATCGACAGCGTATGCTTTATGTATATTGTTCTGTCTATGTGTCTGTGTATTTACGCGTATGGTATGTGCATGTGTATGTATATGTTTATGTATATGTCTAAGTCTATGTCTATTTGAATGTACAATATTTTTTGTGATTATGTACGCACATCTATGTACACATATGCCCATACATATATACAACTGCAAATACATACATATACATATGTATATACATGTTTATGTATATACATATATATATATATATATATGTACATGTAGCTTCACGCATGCACTTGCGGCTATGCCGCTGGACTCCAGCAGACTCGTTGTAGCCCCCATCCAACTCAAAACGAGGTCAAAGCTTTCGTGGCCTATGGCTACACTCCGGCCGATGGTGAGACGGTGGCGATCAAGGCTTGGGACACGGGGCAATGGAGGCTAGTACTCATCGGGAAACGGCTCAGCAATCGTTGAGGGGAATCCGCGTCTCGGGGTGTGAAAAGCTTCTTTTTGCTCATTCTTCTTGCGCGTGGCATTGAGTTTGACATTGAGCTGTGACACTTAATGTTTGCTCTCCCCTCTTTGCTGCGGTGTGCCTCGCCAGCACCTCTGCAGGGCTATGCGAAGCCGGTCTTGAGCTGGGCGGCGCTGATGCAGATGGGCCAGGCACGGGAGGGGAACATTGTCTGCTTGGAGATTACATTTACATCATCTTACTATCGTGTCTAAGACTAAGAACTTCGAGATGGGGGCTCACTACACTCCGACGGCTGCTTTAGGTTTACACCGAAAGGTTGAACTTATGCACCGTTGCAATCCCACCTGGAATGATGGCTGTTGAAGCCAGCCATCCACAAAGGGTTGATATTTTGGGTGTCCTGCAACGTTCCCTGGCATAGGTTCCTGGCGATGATGAGACGGTTTGTGAGGAGAGCTCGGCAGACGGTGGTATGTGCGCGGCAGAGGCAGAAACGTCGGAATCCGAATCCTCTGCTTCTTGGCATCCTGTTGTGATTTCGGTTTGTTTTCAGTTCGTCGTAACGACAACACACCTGACTGCTTTCTGTGCAGAATCATTGCGAGACTAATTAGGCCAGGCGAGAGAGGGAAAGGCCAAGGTGGCACGTGAGTTTGGCAGGCAGTCTTGTTCTTGATCTTGTATGTGACATTCATTCCCCGAATGGCGTCAGCTGTTAATGGGTTTTGCTGTTGGTTGTTCTTCGCCGTTAAAAATGCCCTGTTTCGCCTCAAGCCTTCGTCAATGCCTGGGTGCGGTCAGGTAAGGCCGTCGCACGCGGGCGAAGCGGATGCGCAGCTTGATGCGCGCATAGCCGCGGTGAAGACACGGGGCTGAAATTAAGGGGATAAACATAGGCTTTTCGTGCGATGGCGCTAGTAACACCAGCAAGTCCGGCAAAATCTTCGCACGACAACATAAGGTGTAAATGTCATATGTCGTTTGATTGCAGTGAGGTTGCTGCCGCCTGCTACAATGTCTTTCGCACAGAAAGATTCGGTCGGGGCATCTTACGCGATTCCCCGGCATAGTTAAGACAGCAAGACGTGCCAAGTGACTTGTCGTGTTCAAATCTCCCCGGAACTAGACTGAGACGGGTAACTCCGAGCAGTGATTGTGCGGGAGGTTGCAATGATGGTGTTAACACTGACGTTGATGGAGGTTATCATGATGGTACAGACTGGTGTTGCCAATGATGATAGCAGTGGTAATGCTACTGAAACTGTCGACCTGCTCTTTTGTGATGTTGACGATGTTCGTCGACGATGACAAATGATGCGACTAGTGGTAAGCTTACAGGGCAGAGCGGTCCCCAGCTGCAACCCTAATTACAGAATCTATGCCCTGGTCGGGCTGCCAATGAGGCCCGAGCAGTGTGCTGCCTTGGTGCAGATTGGCTGCAGATTCGGAGGGACGCACGGGCTTCGGTTTTTCAGGAGTGCGATGTCGGGGAGTAGGGCGCTGTACTGAGCTCCAGGAGTATGAGTGTAAGCTTGGCGGGAGGCCTTGTACCTTCCGATCGCGAAAGTACAAGACTGTCCCCCCTTGTTCCACAATTCTGGTGCACCACAGATGGTCTGAGTGCCGGCATACATCACAAACATGCTGACGGTGTGCGGCCCTGCCACATCAACGAAACATCATCGTGCTTGCTCAGACACTGAAACCTGTCAAATGCTATCACAAGGTACACATCTGGCACCACGGGCGAACCAAAGGCTGTGATGATCTCTCACGATCACATTCTGCATTTAGCAGGTTTTGGGTTCCGACAGTCAGGGATGGTGCAGCCTGTGTGTGGCCTGCCCTGATGTGGGAGGTGCTTGCATGGGAAGCTAGAAGCCGTGCACGAATCACGTGGATCCGTAGGTCCGTAGGTTTGCAGAACATGGGTTTGCCGATTAGCATGGCTGTGCGAACTCCAGTGAAGAAGCTACCCGTGCAGCATGGACAAGAATTGGGTTCCCATATCAGTAGCGCTGCTTGCTTTATGAAGCCCGTGGATCGTCTCAGTAGCTCGTGTTTGTGTCCTTTTAACTGTAACTCTTGATGTAAGATGTCTGCCAACATTGATTGCAACATACATGAGCACATCATTGAACGCCCGCAAGCAAGTAGTTGTCTCCAAGACACCAGTGAAGCAACCTGCAGCGCCCGCACTGAGGATTCACTCATCTTCGAGACCAGTTCTGTGTTCCTCTCCACTGTCGGGAAAATCCACGACATTGGCGTCAACCCAGTCCAGGATGTCACGGGCATGTGTGCTTAGTGCTAGCTAGCCCGTGATCCATGTATGGTGCTCTTGCAAGTCGAACTGACTAATGTAGGTGGACCTCTGCGAGAAGGTACTGACATATTGACGAACAAGAGACAGGAAGATGCATACATGCGTACATCAATGTGCGTAGTAGGCTATTGGAGAGTTCCTCGTCGACTCAGGGCTAAACGAGTAAAGAAGCAGTGCAGAAATAGCGTCGAGTTGCAAGAGTATTGTACATGTGCATATATGTATATGTGTATGTATATGTCTACATACATATACATACATATATATATATATATATATATATTTGTTCGTTTACACATATACATATACATACACATGTATATATGTATATATATATATATATATATATACACATGTATATATGTTTTATCTGTGTGGATTTGAGTATCTACTCTTTGCTTTACTTAGTTTTACATCTGTCCCAGTTTACAAAGACGCAGGCTAGCAGCATGCATATCTTAAAGGGACGGCCCTCCTGCCCTGACCCGCCATCTTGTTTCAGGCCGAGGTAGCTCATCGCCAGTAGACAGTCAAGACCATTTCCCCACTCACTCACTCACTCACTCACTCACTCACTCACTCACTCACACACACAATGTAGATAGACAGATAGGTAGATACATATACAGACGCAATATCTATGCTAAATGCAGACATGTGTACATGTCTATGTTAAGCCTTGCAAGCTGCTTAAGAAGGGGGAGGCTGCTAGTCTGCTCGAAAGTGAAGGGCGTAAAGACACCTTCGGTGTGATTCATGCCATTTTACCGTGGCCCAGACTCCAAAACCAGACAAGCTCCATGGTCGTCCCGGCTTCCTTCAATGGTGTGCTCAACTCCGTAAGAAGGTGGTTTTTGGTTGACGTGTCACGGCAGGAGTAATGATGCTGTCAGGAGCGTATCCTTTCCTATCTGCCGATGTCTCATGTGGCCGGACTCATGGTTGATGTTTGCGCCTTGACTGCTCTTGGCAAAAACTTCTGAATTCAGCACGTATCTGCAACCGAATGGTGGCTACGTACTTTCGAGTGCTTTCTGACGATACAGTGTGGAAGCCCCCATGAGAAAGCTAATTAAGAAGTCCGGACTTCGGCATCAGAACAGCAGGATCGATTTAGGCCCGTTATGTCGCAGGGTTGCCCTGCGCAATGGTAAGGTGTTCCGACGGTTATGACAGGCAAATCGTATCTCGGATGATCTGGAGCAGGGACATTGCTCAGGCAGATGGCACAAGCACCTGGCATGGCCCTCCGTGTCTGCAGCAGCCGAAGCAGCTCAGAGTGCATGCCACGCCGAGAGAGCAGCACCGACAACAGCGTAGCCGTATCCAGCTTAAGTACATCCAAAGCCGGGATTCTTTTGCAGAGGCTGAAACCGAGGGTGAACTTACTATAGGGGCCTTAATAGTTACCTATACTGTTTTAGGGGCTCCTTATTGTAATTATTGAAGCCCCTATATTCTTATTATTGTTATCATTATCATTATTATTATGATTATTCATATTATTACTTTTATTAACAGATTTTTTATTACAGGACTCATTGTGTGTTTCTGGGTGGCCACTCGAGGCCCTCGTGGTGCACCGTTTATTTCGCGCGGCCTTACGACCTGAAAGCCGGTTCGGTGAAGGACTCTGCAAGAGACCCGACCTGCCTCAGAGTGAAATCCTTATAATAGGGATCCTACTATCAAGGGTACTAGAGTAGGGTCCCCCATTTTTGGTGTATCCCATCTGAACAGGATGCTTTCTCGACACACTGTAGACCTGCAAGAGGAACACGCAGAATCCTGCCACACCCCAAAGCCAAAAACAGCACACACGAGGTCACAAAACGCCTCAGACTCTCGGACAGGACCGGCTTTGCGCATGTCGGCCGACCTGCTTTTTGGGAGTGCCTCTGGTGTGGGAGAAGACCCTTGGCTCGGTTGTCGAGGTGCCTCAACAAGCATGGCTTGAATCGTAAGTTGGTCATGGCCTCTGTGAGCATGCTTTTTACTTCCGCATGATGTTGCTGATGGTGCTAATGAGTAGCATGACCGTTCTGTGTGTAGTGATGCACGGTGTCTTGATGATAGGAGCACCGCAAGTAGCATGAGCGCCACTGGTATGATTGGTGTGGAAATGCACGATCAGCGCGCATTTCCACAGCTGACAGAGCAGTGCTATGCACGCTTGACATAGATCCTGTTACCAGACTTATAATACAAACAAGGGCGGCATTTTAAGCCCGAAACCCTATATGGCACAGTCACAGGCAGAGCGACTAACGGAGTCCTGTGGCGCAGCAACTCTTAAGAAACACCCAGCCAAGTCCTTAGCTCCCGTGGCGAAAAATCAGATAGGGTCAAAAGACTAGACCAGACCGTTTACTATCTGCTAAATGCTATAGAACTCAAACTCCAGATCTATCCATCTATTTGTCCATCCCTCCCTCCCTCCGTCCCTCCGTCCCTCCGTCCCTCCCTCCTTCCGTCCCTCCCTCCCTCCGTCCCTCCCTCCCTCCCTCCCTCCATCCATCCATCCATCCATCGACCCATGTATCATTGCATCCATACATCCATGCATCCGTGTATCTGTATAACAATAGACAGTATATATACTATACCACAGTCATATAGTAAACCAGAATGTAATGTAATATAGTCAAATAGAACACATAATATATCTATATATATATATATATTGTATGTATAGACATTACGGGGTGCCTTATACTCTAGATTATCTGCTCCACACTGTTTGCGGTTCAGTAAAAGCGATATACCCTATGCTGCATGCTAGTTACAGGGTATATACTAAATACCATTTGACCACTATACTCTGCACAGTCTTCGCATTTTTCTATACACTCACTATACACTATACACTGTACGGCACTGCACTAAACCCTAAACCCAGAAACCCCTAAACCCCTAAACCATAAACCCCTAAACCATAAACCCCTAAACCCCTAAACCCTAAACCCCTAAACCCCTAAACCCTAAACCCCTAAACCCCTAAACCCCTAAACCCCTAAACCATAAACCCCTAAACCCCTAAACCCTAAACCCCTAAACCCCTAAACCCTAAACCCCCTACCCCCTAAACCCCTAAACCCCTAACCCCTAAACCCCTAAACCCCTAAACCCTAACCCCTAACCCCTAAACCCCTAAACCCCCCCTAAACCCCTAAACCCCTAAACCCCTAAACCCCTAAACCCCTAAAACCCTAAACCAAACCCCTAAATAAACCCCTAAAACCCCTAAACCCCTAAACCCCTAAACCCCTAAACCCCTAAACCCCTAAACCCCTAAACCCTAAACCCCTAAACCCTAAACCCCTAAACCCCTAAACCCCTAAACCCCTAAACCCTAAACCCCTAAGCCCTAAACCCCTAAACCCTGAACCCCTAAACCCCTAAACCCTAAACCCCCAAACCCCTAAACCATAAACCCCCAAACCGCTAAACCATAAACCCCCAAACCGCTAAACCCCTGAACCCTGGAGCCTCTAAGCTACGAGGATCGCCGACAAGCTCCGGGCCATCGGAGCGGCAAACTCAGGCTCCCGAGTTCGGAGTCCGTCTCCGGATTGGGCTTAGGGACATAGGGTTTAGGTTTTGGGATTCAGAGTTTGGGTTTAGGGTTTAGGGTTTCGGGGCTCCGGGTGTAAGGTTTCGATATGTGTGGGCGCCAATTTCGGCGGAGCTTCCTCAACACCAAATCATCCAGAAGCTTGGTTGAAGAAGCTCCGGAAGCTCAATTCAGAACCTGACTCGCCTCCGTGGCACAGGTGACCCGGCTTCCACAGAGTAGATGAGCAGTTATGTATACACCGTTTACATCTGCCCGTCTTTCAATGTCTCTTTGCATCTCCTTTACATGGACCCCAAATCAAGAGACCGAGACATCCCCACCCTTATGGTATGCATGCATGCGTGCGTAGGATGCTGGGCCTTCTGACTCCAAGCTTGGCCTCAATGGGAGGCCTGAAGCAGTCCATTGCCACCTGGGCCAAAGACCTGGGCCTCAAGTACTCCAAGAACTGCTTGATGGGAGGCCATGGCTGTTTCTTCGGCGCTTGGACTTCGATTCAACCTAGTACCGTTGTTGGGTCAGGAAAGCCATTTCTGAATCAGAGCTCATGATCGTATGATATCTTATGGTTATGGCTTGGTCTGCCTTTCTGCCCGTGTAGATTCAACTTGCCTGCATCCGCCCCTTTGCCAGCTCGCCCTGCCAACTCCATAATACCATGAACGCCTTCTTCTGCCTTTACCTCAGTCCAAAATGAGGTGCCCTGCAGCTGTGCAGGAGTGAGGGGGGGGGGGCCTACGGCTTCGTTTTTAGGACTTATCGGGGCCTAGGGACTTTGGAGCCATGCCAGGCGATGGCTCCAAGCCCTTCGGGCATACCCTGGCAGACAAGGTCGTGCTGAAGAACGTGAAGGTTGGGTTGCGATGGGTCGTAGACACCCAAGAATCTTCAAGAAGAAGCCAAGAAGCCACCGTAACCGGAAGCAGTCAAACGTTGTTTTTTCACTGGGCGGCAGCCAAGGATAGCTTCATGTCGATGCATCGTGGTGCGTTTGTTCAGCTATCTGCCAGCTTTGCGCCTGCCTACTGACTTTTTTTATGGATCCGCTGCATGCCGCGGGATCTCTGAGAGCTTCCGAATAAAGGGTTGTTGGGAATTCCATGGCTGTGACAGACTGGAAGACTGCAACGCATCACTGCATCACTCCGCTCAACCTCCGCCCCTCCAGGACCTGGTGCCCTGTGCAGGTTTCGTAGTGTCGGCTCCGATGATTTTTGTTGAAAGTGCTGTGGACGCCCTTATCCATTGCAATTGCTCGCAGAACGGGATCGCAAACTTGCAATTTCCGAAGCTTCGAACACAAAATCTTTTGATTTTGGTGATGCTGGCGAAGAGGGTACCACGCAGAACAGTGGACTTGAGCAGAGTGAGTTTCTTGCATCGGGTTCCATTCCTGTAAGCTGTCTACATGTAGCACCATGGCGGATGCCTTGGACTCTTTCCGCCTCTGTAAACCCTCTCAGTATCATTGTATCTTTCTACATGAGCCTTGACCCGTGGAGAGGCAGCACTGGGAATGGACCAGCTGAAGTATGGGGCGACAGGTGCTTTCGGGTGTGAATGCGGCTTTAAGACTTATGCATTCCTCGTCGGAGACAGCCAGACTTCTCTACACTCCTGCCCTTGCTCTCTCGCTTGCCTGCTTGCCTCTCTCTCTCTCTCTGCCTCTCTTTCTCCCTCTCTCTCTGTCTCTGCCTCTCTCCCTCTCTCATTCTCTGACATTCTCTCTAGCTTGCTTCTTTTGCACTCTTTGTCTGTCGCCGTTTGCATGTGTGTGTGTGTGTGCATAAGCGTATGTCGTGTGCAAATGTTTGCTCAACCTCAACCGCTTGTTTGCTCACAGAAGCAAGCCCCATCGTGCCTACAGATCCCGCCAGCTGTCTGTATATGGGTGGTGGTCAAAATTAGGGCTTAGGGTCCCTTTTTGGGTACCCAAATATCTGGTGCCGTATTATAATGAGGACCCAAAAGGGGACCTTAATTTTGATGACTACCCATATGAAGGCCCAATCACCAGACGTAAACCCCAAAACCGCGAACTCGCAAAGCTCCGAGCCGGATAAGCCCTGAAAGCCTAAATCGCAAACCCTGTCCGCAAAACACAAAAACTAATGTAGGGGCCTAAATAATTGCCAATACTATTTCAGGGCTTCTTATTGATATAATTACATTATAATATACCCCAAACCCCGTTCTAATTACTCAGGCCCTGAGATTAGACTCGCAGGTGCCGCCCCGATCCGAGTGGATACGTTGGAATACTTCGGTTCCCTGGGCATCTTGGAGCCAACTGTGCAAGTCTGCTTCTTCGGCAATACTGGCTTCAAGGCGTTGAAGGGTCTTGACTGCGAGTTGGGCAGAATCTCCGTCTGACTGGACATCCTCGTCATGTCTTTGGCTTTCGATCGGTTGGGATTGCACAGCTGCTGAACTCGATGGATGCCGAAAACTGATGCAAGCACCAAGATGCAGCATGTCGCGGATTTTTGCTTATTAAGAGCCAACAGCTTGCCGATTTACATAATCGCAATCACAAAGGAACCAGCGTCGACACAGACAGACCGCGACCATCTACGTTTGCTCCGATCTAAGGCATTGACATCCTGGAGCTTTATGGCATGTCCGTGGCTTGTCTCAACGAGTGATAAGAGCAAGTCTCCCGCATTAACTCAACTACTGTCTCAGTCTTAACCACCTGATGCCGGTTCAATGTCCGGCCATTTCAGAGCAACCAGGGTTCTCCCTGGTGGCTGAGCCCTCTCTTTCATAGTCTACATATCCAGCCCTCGGCATGCCCCACATGTTGGGCTTCCACCCAGCCCACGACAAGGAATGCACCGGAGCAGCCACGGTGTCGTCGCACGCAGCACACTTCTGGGGTTGCTGCGGTTTCTGGGCTGCAAGACTTCCTGTTTTCGAAGTTGAGTTTGGAGCCCAAAGGCGGAGAGCAGGAGGCAGAGGTCCTGATGCTGAAGACTTCGAGCTTGCCTTCGCGCATTCTTAGCGACCCGATGCAGAATCCTGATCCTGCGCCGTTCATGACATGTCCATATCCAGACGAGTAATTAAGTTGTTGTTTTGATTATGCTTGTTGGTTGATTCCTGTGCATGTGTACATACCTGTATCGTGGCGCATTGACATTTCATGTGTTTCGGACGTATGCTTACCCTTCCAGAACTTTGAGTTTATGATATCTGATTCGGCTTTCATCCATATCTACTTCGAAACGCATCTTTGTGCTACATGTTCTTGGTTTACTAGGTCTGTATGGCATCATAGAAGAAATCAAAGGCTGTAGGCTTTTTCTCAGAGAGCAAGCCAGAGAGAGAGAGAGAGAGAGAGAGAGAGAGAGAGAGAGAGAGCGAGAGAGCGAGAGAGCGAGAGAGCGAGAGAGCGAGAGAGCGAGAGAGAGAGAGAGACAGAGCGAGAGAGACGGACAGATAGCTAGGTAGCTGGGTAGGCAGGTAGGTAGGTAGGTAGGTTGGCAAGTAGGGTAGGTAGGTAGATACTTCGATACGGGAGATCGACAGGTCGATAAATCGATAGTTGGATAGACAGATAGCTCGAACTAGATGCCAGATTCCGCAGCCTGTCCTTGGGTTCTCTCATCGGATCGAACCCCTAATTGTCGGAAACTCCCATATTAATCACACTCATGTGTCGCTAAATTGCTCCTTTGGCAGCTGCAGGTCACCCGATCAACGGCGTAGAGGTGAAAGTGTTCAAGGCCAGCCATGAGGTCTAACGATTTCTTTGTGTCTCTCTACCTTACTTTGGGGTCCGTTTAATAAGGATCCTAGTACTTCGGGTACTTTATTGGGATCCCCGATTTTCGGAACCTCCCATATGTCCTGTAGGTGAGGCTCTGTGCTGGGATGCAGGCCTCAGGAGTTTACCTATCGACCTATCGCATGCTGAGAAGGCTAGGACTCTCATCGGAAGGTCGACCCTGACGACATCAACAAGAAGCAGGAATGTCCCAGGATCGGACTTGGCTTTGGGTCGGCGGTGGGCAAGGGTTTCTGGCTTGAACGACCTCTTGGTTGTTTAGAGTTGGATGTTCGCGTTGAATCAGCATGACACCCCACTCCGCCACCTTCTGGCAGGAGTCCGGGCTTGGACAACCTGGATGATGTATTCCAAGGCCAGCTGCGGGGTAGTCCGCTTCTCTGACGTACCGTCAGCAGGACTGGTTGCAATGCTGCGTTGTTCAGTGAAAGGGAGCGAGGGAGGGAGGGTAAGTTTCAAGATGCAGCGGCTCAGAAGCTCTTCCTGCTGACCGCGTAGGTGAAGTCTGCTTCCGCGGTCGTAACATCATGTAGCTCGGCATGAACGAATCTCACAGGCCGCACATGGATGATGATCAGATGGTATGGTTGTGGATAGGGTTCAGACAAGCTTCAGATAAAACAGACCCATGCCAATGCGACGTTGATTGTAAAGGTTGATCGCTGACTGTCGACCCCCTCCCCCAACAAAGTATATACAGTGTACTCAATAATGTCTTGCCTCGTTGTCGTTGTCGTCGTTGTTGTCGTTGTTGTTGTTGTTGTTGCTGGTGGTGGTGGTGTCATTATTATTCTTGTCCGTGTTCTTGCTAGTCTTATCGTTCTTGTTATATGTTATTGTTGTTTGTTCTTGCTGTTGCTCTTCTTGCTGTTGCGGTTGCCCTGAATTGACTGCCTTTATTGTTTTGGAGAAGTTTTCATATACGTCGACTACAATATACGTACAAACTATGGCATATTCTAGTTGCTGATGCCGTGACGCCCCTGCGTTATGCTCGCCAAGATGCATCTCCAGTCATCAAGATCCAAGCCAACACTACCGTAAGCAGAATCGGGAAACGTCGATCCCACCTTTTCAGGGCTCCTCACTCACTACAGACCATACCTCAAACCACCGCGATGCCACAGGGTGTTTAGGCCCTGACTGCTTGGGGCTTTGAGGATGGGGTAATCTGACCACTCGAAGAAGCCCAGGAGAACAAGCGACAACACTTTCTGAAAGTACAGCGCGATGTGGAACTCTTCAGTTGATATAGTCAACAGTTTAGGAATTCAGAGTGGTTTAGGGCTTAGGGCTTAGGCCAAAAATGCTGGTAATGGCCGTTCCAATTGCTTCCCAAGCCCCAGCCGCTGCAACATGCTCCAACTCGGGACTCCAACCCTGAACCCTACATACAAGCAGTATCAGCTATGAGAAGAGAACCCTGACATTCTGAATGAAGCCCTCAACCCTCCGCCCTGAATGAAATCCCGAAACCCGAATCCCCAAACCCTAATCTCAAAGCCCTAAACCCTAAACCCGAATCCCTGAGTCTTAGGATCCCAAAACCTTAAATCCTAATCATAATCCCCAAACCCTAAACCCGAATCCCGGAGTCTTAGGATGGGCTACTTGGCGCAGCCAGACTTCGGAGATGCCCACGTGAAATCGCGACTTGAAGAGCACGAGAACCCTACTATAGATCCCTCACGTTAACTCTGGGATTTAGGGTTTAGCGTTTAGGGTTTAGGGAGGATAGCTCATAGATCCCTTCATGGGGGTTCCTATAAAGTACCCTTAGTAGTTCAGGGCCCCCAACATAGGGGATCTACTTTGCTAAAGTACCCTTCATCATATGTGCCGGAGAGTTGCCCACGTAGGCTTTGCTGCTTGGACTTGTGTGTAAGAGGCTACCCATAGGCCCCAAAGTAGTTCCTTTTTGGATTCAGAATCCTATGAGGTAATCCCAAAAAGGAACTGCTTTGGGGCCTATGGGTAGTTCGAAGAGAGTGCTCGGAGTGTGGATGCTGAAGCGCCTGTGTGAGGTTTGGGGGGTGAGGGTGCAGAGAGGCGTGGTTTTCGGTTTTGGCGTTCATCGACGCGGTCTTCAGACGAGGATTGAAAAGAAGACCATGGAGGCCATCGACAGGGAGGGCTGGATGCACTCCGGCGACAAGGACCGAGCACTGCTGGCTTTAGAAACTCTCGTCCAGAAGTGTTGGCACCTGAAGTGAGACTCGGTTCGGCAGCACTCTTATACGTAATTGCCACAGTGAAGCGGCTTGCTCCGAATGCGGCAACCCTACATGCAAGCCGCGCTACCCGGAAAGCAACACACTCCGATCTTTCATCGTCCATGGGCCGGATTCAGGCACTTCTGGGCACCTATTTACTCCGATCTTCTTCGAGTTTGATAGCCCTTGCGTGATCTCTATTGACGATCCCCGTCCGGTGACCGCAGCAAAAGTCTTGACCGAATATTCATGTTGTTTGCATACCAGAAATGACTGTCTATCTTCATCGTATCTTCATTCTATGTCCATATATGTCTATATCATATCTGGATATATATATATATATATATATATATATATATATATACATGTTCATATATGTATACATATGTATGTCCATGTGTATATATATATATATATATACACATTTATGTGCATATGTATCTGTATGTAGATACAACTATATGTAAAGCACCAAACAGAAGTCAGTAGGACAGTAGGATGGTACAAAGATAGATAACAAATGGCGACATGAACATGTAAGCGTGATGTAGACAAGGTGCACCGTGTCGGAGACTTTTCTTATCGTCATTAGGGAGGTCCTCTGAACGTGACTTTGTTTCCAAAAAGTTTCTCCTGCACTGTTTGAATGTGCAAGAGCAAGGCGAGTAATACATTGTGTGCAGGTTTATACATACTTTGCCCCGTTCTGAGTGCAATAGGAATCACCACGAAGCTACCCGCGGGTTAGAACCCTACATTGAACATGCCCATGTATCCATCACCCTTCAAGCATTTTATCTGCTCTGCGCAGGGCATGATGACCGAGAGTGGCATGCTGAAGATCACGGGGCGTTTCAAAGAGCTGTCCCTTGCAGCAGCATGAATGCGTTGGGAGTTTCGGGGTTTGCAAGGCCTGATGCACGGGTAAAGCGCCAAAATGCGACCGGATGCATTGAGGTACTTGGGTCCTGCTTTCTGAGAGGGTTGCTAGCAGCTGACCGCACAGGGGGGATGTGGAAAGTAGTGGAAAGTGCTCTCGGACGAACGGTCAACAAAGTCTAGCATTGACAAGCCCAGCCCACAATGATGATTTCTCGCCCTTGCCATGCATCCCACTTTCGTCCTTGTCCTTCAGTGCCTTCAACTACATCTGCAAAGCCCGGGCAAATCATTGCCAACGCTTCATGCGGAACGTAGGATCATCGGGGACGGCGGCGAGAATATCGCGCCAGTACCCATCGAGGAGCCGCAGATAGAACTTCTCGCATTATTCCAAGGTTCGGCTAGCAGGAAAGTATGGCCAGCATAACACCGAAGAGGTCTTAGACCTTTAAGAGAGCAGGTGTCTAACATGGCAGTGCCCCTTTGCATCCCGAAGCCCGAGCGAGTTGAGCACAGGAATGATTATAAGGAAGAGATTTGTGATGCCGCGCCCAATAAGTGAGGCATTGCGATTCTGCCTTTTTCTACCACTGTGCCTTGCCTTGCCTCGAGGACCACATCAAGGCTGCCTGCGATGGCATCAACGAGGTGCCCAATGCTTGCATGATGGCATAGGACGTTTCGGGGTTGTGCTCAGTAGAGCTCGAAAGTGCGGACCAAGAGCTGCAGGCTGGACTGGCTTCTTAGCGCAAGATGGTCTTTGCCAATACAGTCGGTGTCATGCGCAAGGACAGAAGTCGAACGGCATCTCCCCAAAGCTGGCCGTCAGGTCATGATGATCGGTGACAAGCGGAAGTTCAACGTGGCAATCATCACATTGAAGGACGGAGTGACGGACGCTGCTGTTGCTCTCCTTGAAGGGACTTCTTGGGGGCTTCATTTCGGCACCCGTGAGTTTCTTTCAGGGGAGGACAGGCCAGACGCTGATGTTGTGGAGGTGATTTGCGAGTGCCTGTATCCGTACATATGTGCAAAAACAGTCAACATGCATGTGTGTGTGTATACTTGTACACAAAGATATGTAGTATACGTGCATGTATTCATGTATGGACGTTTCTTTGTGTCTATGTAAGTATTCATCTATATGAACATATGTATGTCTATGGATGTTTGCGTATTTTTTGTATGCGTGCGTATGCACTTTCATTCTTTGTCCATGCAGGCAGCTGTTTTGCGGCTCCTGGTGCGTGCTGACTGTTTGGACAAGACAAGTGTATAGAGCATGCTTCTTCGATTACCCCAAGGGTCCATGGACCCAAATAGTATATTATACGTTGGCCTTAATGTAGTCCCTACACAGGTACATTGGGCCCAAAGTATTATATACTATTTGGGTACATGGTATGTGCGACACCCGTTCGCTATCCTTGCCTCCACGACCTGTAGAAGCAGAGATTCAAGCTGTCTTCATCGTCTTTGCTTGCAGTTGCAGCTGTGCAGACGTAGCAGCAGCCGACAAGAATTTACGTGCTGAAAGTGTGCACTGCTTTGCAAACATGATTAATGCTTGTCTGCTGAACGAGTCTGCAGGCCGTTGGCGCAAACGGCGAGGTCCCTGGCACCGACGAACTGGATGCCGGTGCAAAGCGAGTGATACTGAGAAGAATCTGATGAGGTCGGAGGGCCCCGGTTGTAGAAATGAATGCGGCTAGTGCCGCGCATTAACCATAACAAGTGCCATTGAACCATCATGGAACAGAGTGCTTCGTTAAGCTCCTTTAAGGCGATCAGCTGAGCTGTGTTGGTCACAGACTCATCGGCAGTTTCCAAACCACTGCTTCAGCAAGAACCAGCGTCGAGACCATAGTCAAGAGTCACAGCCTGAAGCCAGAACACAGAGCCACTGAATCTACCTCAGCATGCCCAAAAGGTGGCAACACTTCAACTCGATCAGCCCTCTATCGAATCGATATTGACCCTTTTGTTGCGAGAGCTTTAAATTGCGGCTCTGCATTCCAGCTCAAGAGTCTGGGGTGTCTTATCAAGGAACCCGGCAGTGAAGACCATCAGCGCCGCGCTAGATGACAAGGCGTGTCTGGTCGCAGCGTTTGCTAAGGTACTTGTTTTCGACAAAGTAGACGGTTCGTCTAAAACAGCTGGGTCGAGCTTTGAAAGGGATGACGGGTCGAGTTTCGGGAGAGAAGTTTGGGTTGCCGTTTTGGTCCTGACGAACGAGCTGGCGTTTTGATAAACCTTGGCACCACATTTTTTTGAGAAGTTGGTTTGTGGAGGTAAGTCCAGCCAAGCAACCCTGCACAGCGCAGACCTGGATAGAGACGGTCACCAAAGCCGTGACGTCCGCCAACAGCGATGGCATCTTGGAGCACAGCACCACATAGTCCAGCATGGGCATATTGTGCCATGACATGCTGCGAGACAGCGTTTGCACGTGCAGCATAATTTTCGACGGTAGATATGGGGCCGCTTGGGCCCTGTCGGCTGTTTCATGACATAATATGTATGGCCGAGGAGAAACGAAATCCATTGCGATCGGGAGGTGTTATGCGACGATTCATTCAGCATGGCATGATTCAAGACCTAAAGCACATGTCAAATTGGGATGATTTGACAGTTATCACAAAGAGCCGTCCCAAGTAAACTCAGTTCCACGGTGAGGTTTATCACAAGGATACCAGATCTCGTATCTGCACCAAGGACGGCAAACTTCTCTTCCGGGAATCCCAGAATAGCATAACCATGGACTCACGTATAAACTTCGCGCAATTGTAGTTACTTTCTTTCTAGATCGTAATTACTTGTTATATGCTGTTGTGCAGACATCAGCACAGTATTTCAAGCCCGTGTGACAGGTGCATTCGTTCCTCATGCTCTCAATCGTACACCATCCTTAGTTTTAAACAAACCCAAAAGCCCACTCGATTGTTGCTACTCGTAGCTGCGCATCTACTGCCATTCCCCGACACTGTCCCCAGCACGTTTCTCAGGTAAGATCTGCCCGAACAACGCCTTCAAAGTGCAGAAGCTCCCTGCCCTGGTAACGCGGGGTTGGGTGTGCAAGGCTGCATTGCTTCCCAACTCATGCCGACTGAGCTGTGCATGACATCGGTCAGGGTCAGGGTTTAGACCCCTTCAGTTGCAAGGTTCATGATCTTGCCGACCAACTTCTCCGAAGAGCAGGGTCATCTGACGCCAACGAAGTGACTCGGCGAAGAAACCCCAAGACCAATCACAGCTCACCTGCCAGGGACATGTTTGTGCTGGTATGTCTGATTTGTCTCAGACGACGGGGAGTGTTACAACGACATTGGCACAGGAGGCAGTTCAGTCGTTGTCGGGAGCTTCAAGAGTAGCAAGATGATTCCTGCACAAGCCTCCCTGGCCTGAAACTCCTCAAACCTCCCATCGTTTCGGGCAAATTCCTGCTAACTCGCCAGGAAGCTCAAGAGACCCGTCGTGGAGAAGGCCTTCAGCAAGCAAGTTGAGCAAATGTACGCCTCAAAGGAGACGTACGTGCGATACCAGGCCTAGAGTTGGCAGATTCTCCAGGACCCTTCGTCACTGTCACAGGACTTAGGGGCTTAAGATGGTTTATAAGGGTTTCGGGTTTAGGGGTTTAGGGTTTCGTACCGTATCTCTAGAAGGCTCAGCTACAAGAGCTTAAGGTCTGAGCCGGGCAACTGGGTGTCAGTTGGGACTACTCTCGAAGGTTTATGGTTTAGGGACTACTGGCAAAGGGAGCCCATGAAACAGGATGAAGGCATCTTGTTATTGTTGTTGTCATTACTAGTACTGTATTATGACCGTTAGTACTATTACTAAAATCACTAGTATTGCTATTGTTGTTACCGTTGTTGGTACAATTGGTATTATCAATATTAGTTATCATAACTAAGTTATTTGTTATGTAGTCTTATTCAAAACTTGCTAGTCAGCGCCACTTGTATCGCCACGGGTAGTTGGGTAGTCCACCATATTGGGATCCTCCACGGTGATAGCTGGCTTTCAGCATCCAGGCTTCCGAGAGTCGCCGCACCTTTACCGCCTGAACCTAAACTAAGCCAAACCGCTTAAACCCCAAACTCCACCTCGACTAGAGTCAGTCTTGCCTCCTGGGAGTCAGCGCTTGGCTACAGTGCCGCGGGACCGCGAGCTCTTGAGATCAACCATCAAGGTTTTGGAAAGCTTAGGGTTCCCATGAGCCTTACTGTAAGGGTCATTATGCAGGTTACTACGAAGTTCAATGTAAGGGGTCACTAGAAGGATTACTATAGCGGTTACTCTAGAGGTTCCAACAGGGGTTACTACAAAGATTCTGGAGAGCTGCGGGGGGGGAGGGCAGCTGCTTCTTCGCCCGTCCTCTTGAGGTACTAGGAGGCCCATAAGCTCAGAAGACCCGCGCCCAAAATGCTGCCGAGAGTCTTCGGATTTGCTTTGTTGCTTTGTCGTCCGCAAGCCGAGTACATGTTGTTTCCGTTTAGCATAGTATAGTCAAGCAGCATAGGATAGTTTAGCATAGTAATTATATAGCACAGTATAGTATAGCTTAGCATGCAAGTGGCATAGTGATCCATAGTGCAACCTTGATGTTTGAAGCTCGAAAGGTGGCGGCACAGGGACCCAACAATAAACATGTCAGCTGCAGCCTGGCACACGACTGAGGTCAGGGAGGGTAGGCTTAGGGTTTAAAGAACTTCAGACCCGAACCCCAAAGGGCAAAAGGGACAAACGGAGCCAAGCGATTCTAGAGCAAGACCTTCTGTCAGCCAGTCTTGCAGCAGATGTTTCTTGCAGGGATTGGAACACACCGGCATTTCCCCCGGCATTTGGACCGGCATCCGGAGTTCCGATCTGTAAAGTACAGCACTTGGCATTGCAAACGCCTTCAGGCACTCGAGGTCTGTCCATGCCAGATCCTGCCAGCTCTAGACCAAGCGAATCGCATGATGGACAGAAGCCTAGGGCCCTAAGTTCAGTGAAACTGGCCTTCCCTGAGCCTCCTGCTTCAGATGGAGACGGCTACCTAGGGAACACGGTGCACCAACCCCCAAAGTAAGGCCTCAGCATGCGTTCCACTCGCAATAGTTAAACTGCACTGGGATGTTGCGGGCAGCTTTGAGATATCCTGGGGGCGTACCAATCTGTGCCTTCGCTTGTTTTCACAGTTTCGGCCGTCCATTGGCCTGGTGAGGGGTGCGACCGACACCCCGTGACAATGAACCCAGGCGGTTTTCAAGATTGGGCCCGTTGGGGTCGCTGTTTGGGGTCACTTGCTTACTAACCAATCTTTGTGTACGCCGCACGAATCACATATGTGTATGTGTATGTATATGTATATGTATATATATATATATATATATATAAAGCCCACACACACACACACGTGCGCTTCTGTTTATATGAACATATGAAGATGTCAGAAACGTGCGCGTTTGCATACCAATATATATATATATATATATATATATATATATATATATATATATACACACATATATAGATACACACACACACATATATATATATATATATATATATATATATATATATATACATATATATATATATAGATATACACATATATGCGTGTTTATATAAACATATATGCCAAGACACCCTTGGCGTCTGGAAGTTTATCTTGGCGTCGACATGCACCGACAAACACAAGACAGACAGATCGAGATGACACAAGCACGCGATGCACATCTCTGCCTGCACGTATGTATATATATATATATGTATATGCATGAGCATGTCCGTATCTATGTCTGTATGTTTTTATGACTGTTTGTATGTATGTTTGACAGTGCACATGTGCATGTACGCATGTGCAACTTACAGGTTGTCGGCCAGTGACTTTCCAAGTGCGCCCCCCACTGACGAAACCGCCCAGATATGTTTTGCAGAATGAGGAAACTGGGGTGGGGACAGATCGCCATGCTAGTCTGGTTTTCGATTCGAAGGTTTTTCCTGTATGACCAGGTATGGTAGGTATGTACGTAGTCAGCAGGCCGGCGAGGTAGGCAGGTAGCTGCCTGGCTTAAGACCATTTTGGCTCAGCACCAACAGGCCAAAGGGGAAGGCGGCTTGCTCGACTTAGCCGAGCCATGGGCAATATCCTGGGTGGTGGAGTTGCCATTCTGGACGAGGCTCCCGTGTCCAAGGATCCCGACTGCCACTCGACCTGAAGCGGTTGGTACGGCGGCCTTAGGCCGTTGAGATGTGTGAGACAGGCTCTCGACTCCAGCCGAAGTCATAGTCATGCAAAGGTCTACACTTCTACGTTTTGTGTTGTTGAACTTCATCCTCTCCTTGTTTTTGCGACGTTCCCAAGACGAGGCTACTGCCCTTATGACGGAACCGGTCCATGGCTCCTCAGCTGCAGCGGGCAGACCTTAAGGGACCCTTGCCTTGCGCTCCAAAAACGATCCGAGATTTCGTTTCTGTCGTGGGCCTTGCGACCTTTGACCTCTTGCCTTCTGCGGGTCCCGTGCATCACTCGGCGTCGCTTTTTTCATGTCCTATCCGGCTGGGGGTCTACTCGGGCGCTCTTCATGCCTTCTATAACTATATGTAGACCTCTTTATCTTGATAGCTATCCAGGGGCACTTGCTGCAGCGTTCGAGTGTCTGTCCTCGAAATAGTCGCAAGGGCGTTGGGCCATCTCCACAGATATGTGATTTGAACATGTCGTTGAATCTCGCTCTTCTGGATAATTGAAACGCTTTGGGCAGCTGTCGGAAGCCTGCCACTTGCCGAGAATCCAAAATTCAGAAACCCTAAATCCGAACCCCGAAACCCTAAACCCCAAACCCAGACTGGATAGGTCTAGGTAGATATGTAATGGGATAGAGAGACAAAGTCTTTTTGAGAGGTAATAAGATATACCTCAGCAGGTAGATAGGTAGGTAGGTAGATCGACAGACATATGCATACATGTGCGGTCGCGCACATTCCTTGCGATTGCGTACTTAGATGTTTGTGTTTGTCTGTTGGTCTGCCTGTGTGCCGGGATTTCGGCATGTACTCCTGTATGGAACCACACATGCATGCATGTGGATGTATACATGACTGGATGTGTCTCTTAATTAAGCAGCTGTTTAACTATCCATATTCACTTGATGCATCTACCCCCTTGTCTTCTCTGCAGGTTCACCTGCAAGCCCGAAGAAGAACAGAAGCCACGCTTGGCCAAGAAGGGGATCGCAAGCCGAGAGGGCTGCCCACCAGCAGCTCCGAAAGCACTTGTGGAACCTGAAGACGGATCCGAGAATATCTACATAAATCGAATGTTTATTGACTTGGTCTAACTCCAGCGGTTCGTCCAACCCTCCTGCCAGGCACTTAGTGCAACACGGATGAGTAGATTGAAGTGGTCCCGTGTCGCGTACTCGATCCACCCAGTGAGCACCCGGTGAAGGCGAACGTGTCACAGTCCGAATGTCATCTTAAGCTCCCGCATGGAGCTTTCAGAAAACCTCACGCGAATAGTTGAGAAATTGTATATGGACCATTCTACGAACCATTACATCAACCGTTGTAGACATCATTCGTCCCTTGTAGAATCCTTCCATGTCTACCATCGAACCCCGTACGCCCGCGTATCCCAGGAGACTTTCGCTGCCTTACTGAAGAAAGCAGCCGAGCTGAAAGGGGACAAGCCAGCGATGAAGGCCTGGAGCGAAGTTTACGATTTAGGACCTGCTTCTGGGTTTGGGCCTGGGCTGTAGGGCGGTGATGTAGGGTGTTTCTTCAGGTTCACATGTCATGATCAGGGGTTCGGGTCGATCTGGGGAGCAAGGTTAGTGAGACTTTCCTGTTGTAAGCTTCTGGATTCCACCTTTATCTGCCAAAACGCTTTCCGCAGTCACCATTTCCAGGCTTTCAGCATTTCATGAGTCCTTTCCTCCCGATTTCTCATCTGTGCGAGGTTGTTGTACCACTGGAGTTTTTCAATTAGCGTGCGTGTAGCTCTCCCAACCCCCAAGAGCCCACTGCGTAAACTCAGTTCATGTTCGCGCTTCGGTTCAATTCTCAGTTGAAGTGTTAAGACCTCAGTGAGGGAATCTGTCGTCCATCCCCAGACTGTCAGTGAAATCGTGCGTTGGAGAGCAAAACCCTGGTCAGACCTCAGCTTCACCAAATTGTAACAACGTCGAAGGATCGTTGCAGAAGGTCAGGGCTCTTTCGACACGACCGGTGCATACCGTGGTGGGCATTCATTCATTGCCAAAGCAACTGCTGCTCTTGATATGGGTGTGTCAGAGAACAGGGCTCTAGCAGAGGATCCTACATGTCAAGATCATCAGTATAAGGTTCCTATATGCGGCACTGTACTGCTTGTTTAAAGCCTTGGGATTTTTCACCACAGCGGTTGCTGATGCGGGCGTAGAATGCCTGCCACCCAGGTCGAGCGACCCGTTCCCGCGCCAAACCAGGCTGTTTCGGGTAATTATCTGATTCGGGTGGTGTGGGTTCTCATTGTCAGGAAGAGCTTGCAACTGACACATTGCGTCCATTACGTAAGTGCGACAGATCAGACTAGGCATGCTGCAGCCAATTAACCACCAGGCTTCAACCCCTGATGACTGCAGCTGTTCTGATGGCTGAAATCAAGAGGAGTGAGAAGTTGAGCTGCCGCAGGCGTGACAGATGACTAGCCGTCCTCATACATGCACTCATAGAGGGTATCCCTGGAGACCACTGCCGCAGTTCACAGCATACCAGCTGCTGCGTTGACAATCTGTGTTGCTGCTCCAGGATGGCACAGTTCCACCTGCACTGGAAGACGAGGAGCACATCGCCATATCTCTGCCATAGGCTGTTATAGATGTGTGCAGGCATGTGACGCCCCTGACTTTTAACTGACATTGCCCCATGAATGTGGCGCTGACGGTCTCCGTGCAAGCCGGTCATATGCGGTGCGAACTGGCCAGAGTTAATTACTTGAGCTTGATGAACATTATGATGATGCTGAGGGTGAGGATGATGATGCTGAAGATGGTGGCGATGCTGAAGATCTACATGATGCTGAGGACTAAAGAACATGGTGCTGACCGTCGCGCTACTGCTAGTCGCGGTGCCGATGCTCCTGCTGATGTTAAGGGGAGGGGAGGATGCGTTTCCGTTACTCTTGTTGTTGATGAAGGGTTTTTTAAGGGCGCCGCCATCCCTAAAGCTTCCTCCGCGGTTCTAGCTAGGCTACACACCCTAAAGGAACTAAACCCGCTTCGCACTGCCTATGCCGCCCTTGTAGGGAGTGCGGGAAACCAGCTAGGCCCAACAGGCCCACTGTTCCGCCTACTGTCCGGGCATGCTGCCGATGCCGTCTACCAGGTTGGCGCAAGTGCAACCGAGCACGTCATCAGAGCAGTCGTCACAGGCGACATCCCCGAGCACTACTGGACATTAAAAGCTACCAAAGGACCCATGGGCCTTGCACGCCACTGGATGAAGCGTCAGGGCTGGACGGAAGCCGCACACGCCCGGTGGACTTGGATCCACACCACCGCCCAGACGGCCCTGGCCGCCAGGCCGCTCTCGCGTGAGCAGCGCCGCCGCCTTGCTGCCGCAAACTTACAGCTCGTCGAGCTCACCCCGCAGGATGCCAAGCAAACCCTCCGCCATGCCCTTCGGGACGCATGGCGAGGGCACACCTGGAGCAAGTTCCTTCGCACTGACAACAAGGCCGCACAGGCCCTTCAACACTGCACCTGGCCGCAGGTTCGTCAACGCGCACATCACATGATGATGCGATGGGCGCGGGGGGGCGAAGATCGCCGCCACCTGCGAGCTATCACTTCCGGCCACTATGTCAGCCGCGCCAGGCTGCTTTCCACACAGGGTAAACCAGTCACTCCTTGCCCTTGCGGCTCCGCTTCACCGGATCGTGCGCACGAATGGGTTTGCCCTCATCTCACGGGCTCTGCCACACCCCTGCAGCCACAAGATATCATTCAGGCTACGCTTGGATGGCCGCTGGATGCAGTAAAGGCTTCTAGCTATGATCCCTTCCTTGCACAAGTGATTCAAGCTCGCAGAACGTCACTTGCTGAGAGATACCCAAGTTAGGGCTGTGCCAAGACATGCTCTAAGCCGTCTGCCGCCTCTGGTGGACTCAACACGGGAGTCATAGTTGACGCCCCCTTCAGCCATGTGCAAACCTGCAGGTGTGACCCCAGTCACGCCTGCTCTTAATGGCCGCAAGTCCGTGCCCGACTGCAGGCCTACAACGTGTACTGCTACTCTTGTTGTTGATGATGGTGATGGCGATAATGGTGTTGAGAATGATGATGCTGATCATGGTGGTGGGTGATGATGATCGCGCTTAAGAAAGACGGATGATGAAGGTGATGACGATGGTGAGGACCATAAATACAATTCATCCATCATGACCATCGCGACGGAGATGAGGATGCCGCTACTGCTGCGATGATAATGCTGGTAATGATGGTGATCATGCTGACGATGACGTTGGCGATGATGGTGCTTACAGATCACGGTGAATGTCGTGATCGCGACGGCGATAGCGGTGGTGGTGACGGCGAAGATGGGGTGGTGCTCATGATGAGTTTGGTCGGGCTGACGAGGGTCGGGATGTGGACAAAGGGACGATCGCGATGATGATGGTGATGATGATGAGGGTCGTGATGAATCAGCGACGGCTGCAGCGAACGTAAGAACCTCAAATCCGCAGCCCCGCAGAAATGGATGACGTGGACATGGAAAGACTACTACGAGGATGCACGCAAAGCAGGTAAGGGATTCATCAAGCTCGGCGACTTGCACAAAAAGCTGTTTCGATGTTGTCGGGAACTTCTGATGGTTACATGTTTCGTGGAGTTCGTTGTCGCTTGTCGGTTTTATGTCCCGTGGTTGAAGTGTTATTGATAATTGGTTAACCCTAAATCCAAAACCGTACATCACGTGTCAGACGTGGCGACTCCGGAACCCAGGCCACCGCAAGGCCCAAAAACGCAACCCAGGTACTCCTCACACGAACACGCGGCGGCACAGTCCTATGGATGTCACGTGTTTCTTCTTGATAGTTTTGGGGGCTGTTTTTCAAGTACTCCGGCTTCATGGCCAAGCCGGAATCCCCATTCTGGAATCACTGATGCGGGGAGACCACGAGCAAGATCCAGCCCAGGCTTGCAGAAGTTCGAGTCCGTGAGTGTTTGGGGCTTCAACGCACCTGAATGGTCGCTCGGCGGCGATGTTGCACGATGTAGCCGTCGAGGGTCTTGGGCACGGGTCAAGTTCCCTATCTATCCGAGAGGCTCAGCCTAGCAATAGATATCACGGGGCGGGGTCAACGAAGTGCAAGTCAGTCGTGGAGTCTCGCTCTCCGGGGGGCCTTGCTTCAGTACCCTTCCCGGAGAGCTCGAGAGCAAGATGGTTTCAGTGTCTCTGACAACTTCAGTGGTGTCTGCGACAGACCGAATAACCAAGCCTTCATCTCATGCTTCGGTGAGAGGGATGCCACAATTGCTCCATAAGCATGACTTGGTTGTGCATGCTGGAGGGAGCCGGCTGTTCTAGGTGGTGGATCCATAACAGCAACAAAGTCGTCGTTATCGTCGTTCTCGTTACCATCCGCCCCCCTAGTGCTTTGAATGAGCTTTCAATTGCGGGCCCGAAACCGCGAAATTCCGGGGGCCGGTAGTTTTCACATTACAGAAGTTTTTTTTTGGGGGGGGGCTTTAATATTGGGGGGAAGCATTTAATCTTCCCTCGGTTTATCATCTTCCAGGACGAAACACATTAGCCTGGATGATTCCTATAAACCCGACAGGACATCCAAAGCCGTAGGCATCCAGCAACCCGAAGCATGCCGACTTGCAGCAAGGATGCTCTCTCTGCAGGGGGCGACCATGGCCGGTGGCAAGCGACCCGGCACCACAAAGCAGTGTATCGAATCGGGGAGACATGCCCCTGATTTTTTGGCTGCTGGTATTTTGGCGTATATGATATAGTAGGCGAGCTTATGACTGCTGAGAGACAGCTGTGGGATCTGCCACAAGAGCGTTTGTCACATTCTGAACCGGCAGTCCTGGTCCTAAGTTAATGTAGTGTGGCGCACGTATTCCAGGGATGGTAATGAGCCTGAGGTCAAGGTGCAGCATAGTACTGTGTTGTAATGCTTTGAGCTTTGGAGGCATTCGGGTATTGATTGAATGAGCCAGCCCACAGGGAGGCTTCTGTCATGGCTGGAGTCGAAGTGTACGTGCCTTGTTGGGGCTTCGCCGTGTGAGCTGGAGATTTCGTCGAGATGACTGACTTGAGAACTTTAGGTGTCAGTCTGGATATCAAATTGCACAGTCGTTCAGTAGCCCGACTTGCTGCCAGGTTGCTGGCATCCGTGAGTCGTGATTGCTGCTGCATGTTGCTGTTCTATGTCTATGCGACGAAGTTTTCAATCTGAAGAAAAGCCGATGCTACAGCACGGCCCAGTCTCGCCTGGAGAATTCACGACTGAGCTTGCCGTTCAGATGGCCCCTGCTTTGTCGTCATTGCTTCGGACCTTTGTTTTGGTTCTCCTCAGTGCTGCTTTTGCTGGTGACAGGCAATAACTCGTACAAGGCCATAGGCCCTGAAGGCCCTATGCTAAGCCTGTGACAGACAGATACAGCTCAGGCTCGCGGGCCTTTATCCGACGGACACGCCGGAGACAGCCGGCTACAAGGTCGCCCACAGTGGGGATCCTTGCCAAGCAATTGTTTCGGGTTTAGGGTTTAGGCTTTGGTGTTGCGGGTTTAGGCTCTAGGGTTGGAGCTGAGGCAGTCGTCTATCAGATCATACGATAACATCGCATGTCGCTCATCGTTCCCCTGGTCCTCATCGTCAGAAGCATCGTCAGTCCATCTGCAAACAGGGCTCCTACGTCGACAGCTTCATGTGATTGAAGTTGCTGCTTCTTGTGGCTGTAGGACTTCGGATGTGCAGCAGATTTTCAGGCGCAGCAAACAGAAGGCGATCAAGGGAGGATCGCTGAGTGTCTATGCATGTATACTCTGGTATGCATACATACTGAAGTATGTACAAATATATATATATATATATATATATATGTATATATATATATAGACACATATAATATGTATGTATGTATGTATGTATGTATGTATGTATGTATAGATTTATGTTTGTCTCTGTGTTTGCGGTGAGATTCCCGCTTTTGACACTGCTCCATCCTTTGAAGTGCTTCCGTCAGCTTCTTCCGCACGAGCACTTTCTGGTGTGCCTGCTAACATTCAGCGTCGTAGCTACTGTGAGTTCCGTCTTGCTGAGGGTCTCTGCCGAAAGCCTGGGCCAACAACTGTCATACCAAGGCCGCAGTAGTGGTCGTGGAGGACAGGAGCAAGCTTGACAGGACCGGATCTTCACTGCGATGTCTTTTTCTAGCAGCGTCAATACATGGACACCTGCAAGCTCAGATGGTGGACTGGCAATGCGAGCAGTGATCATGAGCATACCATCCAACGCGATCATGTCGAAGCAGCCGCAAGCAACTGCCTGCAGTTGATGCATCGGGGAATGTAGTACATTGTAATGAATGTTTTTACATCGATGTAAAAAACATACATTACAATGTACGGCAATGTAGTTATCTAGTTGTTATGGTTGCGTGCATAGCCTCTGTCCTGTGCCCACGTTCTTCAGCAGGCTCGTCGAGGCGCTGAACAAACGCAAGGATCCCAAGCCTTTGCGTGTCAGAAGCTTAGTTTGGGGAGTCGTAGTGGCTTAGTAGGGCCCAGTACTCCGCTGGGGTTGGGACCCAGAAGCAGGCTTTTTGCCACTGTTGTTGGACCGTCAGCATCGACAGACATTTGCACGTTGGCAGATGATGCCTGCTTCTGTGTCAGGCGACAGTGTTGTTGTTTCTGAGTATCTGGGGGACATGATGTGCTGCAATGTATCACGTTTTCTGTTCCTATGCTCAGGTCAAGGCATTTGTTGCCTACGGGTTTACGCCCGCGGATGACGAAAAGGTGGAGGTCCAGGCAAGATGCAGCATACCGATCCCGTTCGTTTGCCACGTTCAGAAGCTCGACATGATGAAGCGGTGCCAACAGTCGCACCCGAGCAATTAGTCGGCTTGACAGCTTTGTGCATCCAGGTTGTTGTCAGCCTGTTGAGGTAACAGAACCTGCGCTAGAGGCAACGAGTCGGTGAAGCCTATACGAATCCATGCGATGATGCGGCAAGTCCAGAATGCTAAAATGCTGTTTCGACCACTGCGATAGTGCTGCGTAGAGCTTCTTCGTTGTCAGTCGTCAACATATTCCGAGCCACGCGACGTTTACCTAGATTTGCCAGTGGCAGCAACTGTCAATCTCTGGCCACCAGGAGCCACCATTGCACCAGAGTCTGTAGAATATCCATGCACTACTAGTACCTTAGTAGTAGTCTCGCATCCACTAGCACAGTCAGTCAGTATTCGAAGCCTGCATGTTGTCACGTATGTGCCATGCGTGTCGATTTCTGTGTGTCTACTTCTCCGTCGTTTTTGTTTTGGGTTTTAGCATGTTTCTGTTCGATTGTTCTACCATCTATCGCTGGACGTTCAACTCATCTGGCCCAAAATCAGGTGTACCCCCAAGACTCAAGACCCTTTCGCCTTTGGCAGGGAGACAAGAAGCCTGTCATGAGCTGGGCAGCCCTCATGGCCATGGGTGGCAAGGCCGTTTGTGCTTGCGTTGGGGTGCTTGAGAGCGGACAGCACTGATGCTTTGGATTTGTTTCAGGTGTTTCGGCATGACTGCAGATGTTGGGATATGCCGGTATATAAGGGTGTGTACATATGTATATATACATATATATATATATATGTATATATATATATATATATATACATAGATACATTTGATCTCATTTCATATCAATGCGTAGCACAGCGCAGCATATCGGGTCGTCGACACGCATACACACATAGGTTTTACATACACAAGCATACACCTATATATATATATATATGCACATATTGCTACACGCATACATAGATACATAGATACATGGATACATGCATACAGACAGTATCATGCACAGATACAAAGACACATACATAATATACCTACGTACATACATACATACGCACACAAGCATGCATGGATAGATACATACATAGATATACGTTTTATATATTGGCCCTCAGCAATTCAAGTTGATTTCGCGAGCCGTACTTCTCAGACCTTGCTCGCATCTCTTCCGAAAGGAAAGCGATGCGGAACTTGATGCACGAATAGCTGGAGTGTCGCCTCTGGGGTGTGCTGCCCTTGTGCACCTGGGCATCGAGTAGATGAAGTCAAGTGCGGGGTCAACCAAGACAAGCTACTCAAAGAGCCCGCGGAGGTCTGGTTTGGAGAAACGACTATGAGCACAGAGACTAAACCTTCGGTAGGCGCAAAATGGCACAAAAGCGAAGTCTTGCCAGCCAGTTGCCGCGAGCCGCGGGCGTGTTTCTGCATTGCTGAAAGATGTAGCTGTTTCTGTTTGGAAGACATGTGCTTGGTCCGGGACTCCGCGATTTCCGGTAGAGTTGCTGCAGGAAGGCTGACTGACACAATGAAAGCCGAAACGTTGCGAGCGATTCATCTCACCTTTCGCCACGCAGAGTCTGCAGGGCCCCGACACAAAGGTACACATCTGGCACCACCGGAGAGCCAAAGGCCGTGATGCTTTCGCACGCACCTTGGCTGTCGACTTGGTAGCTGGAGTTGTCTCATTAAAGGTTACGACATCAGGAAGCAACTCTTCTGAAACTTGCGGCATTGCATGGAGCTCGTGACTTGACGCCTCAGCCCGATGCCTCCTCATCGCCGTAAGATTCCCGTGATCGTGGTCATTCTGTAAAACGAACTTCGCATACGTTTGACCCAGGTGTGGTCCAGGTACTTGCATGATAACATGTGTCGTCTGGATATGTCACCTGGGGATCCCCACAAGCTTTTCCCTCACTGCCTTGAAGATCTAGAATCTAGACCCGGAGCGGCAGAGAATTTCTGCATGACTGAGGATGCCATCATCTTCACGAGCAGCGGAGTTTTCGAGTGCCTTTTTAATGACGAGAATTTCCTCAGGGTATGTCAGGGTTGACTTCGCACCAGCTTTTGGGCTTCCTTGAGTTTCGCTGGCATTTGCGTTCCAATGGTTCTGGTGAATTCAGAGACCTTGGTGCCGGACGCCGATGTTTGAACGGATCGAGCTGAGCCTTTTGCCTGGCTCTGTGAAGTGCTTAAGTACTGGGTTTGCAGAACATGGACGGAGTCTTTGTCCTGGTTCGCGGACTTTTCACGAACACGAAAGTAGCGAAGACGGAAGCTTCACTAGGCAATCGAAGCCCAGGGCGAGCGTCGGACCTACCCACAACTTCGCCGTCCTTCCAGAGCAGGTCGGAGTTCAGATTGAGCGCGCCACCATCCGAAGTCTTAAAGCTTGCAAGATCAATGGAACAATGCCAGGTGTCGCGAAACTGAGAATGCTTGCAGACGGGACGTGATAAGTCCAGAGATTCAGATGAGGATTCCGAGATAGATTTCAGAAGTCGGTATTTGCTCTGATCCTGGATCTGGAAGCCGGCAGACCGCCAGGAGCGATTTCTGTCGTATCTGCCTTTGTCGCATGTGGCTGGACTGATGGTGGACATGTGACGCTTGGCTGTGATGGGTTTAGGATTTAGGCTTCTCTCTCTGTCTCGCTCTCTCCGTCACTCTGTCTCTTTCTGTTTGGTCCGTATCTGTACTTGACACGTCACCACAGGCTCCGCAACTAGCCAAGTTCCTAAAGACCCAAAGTCCCGGATGCTTGGAGTGTGAGTACTTGGTAGAAGCGTTGTTGGCTCCCGACCGAGGCTGCCCCATGTCGCTGACTGCCAAGTTGCCAGCTGGACTCAATTTTTGGTTTTTGTGCTTCGCAAGTCCAAAGTTGGAGTACACGCCAGAATGTTGCTAAGACTACCGGTAAAACACTGTCAGATCTAAGAACAGAAGAAGCACGACAGGAGATTCAGCTCGGTGATGAAGCTCCGAGCTTGACAACAGCGAGTGTTGTTCATGGGTGTTGGACTGTTTTGTGTCTCCTGTACAGGAATCTGAGAGTTTATACCGTGTAGACATCTTCGGTGAGAGTGTAGCAATTTAGCCGAACTCGTCTTGACAACGTTCTGTCCGATGCGCGTTCACCATGCAGTCTGTTGAGCTCGATAAAGCTGAAATCGTGGCGTCATTCAGCATGCCCTACTACAAAGAAGCTAGAGACCGCGGCGCTGGCCCATGCCACGATTCCAGGTTGCCCATGCCACCCCAAACCCTAAAGCGGACGATGTGGCTTAGATCAGCTCGTTTGGGTATCTATATCCTGGAGGTTCAAGCCTGAACCCAACACTTAATGAATAGATCTATCGTTCTTGAGATCTCGACCGGCTATATGATTAATGCAGGGATGAAGCTGGGTTCTTACAGATGTCTTCGGGATGCCGGGTACGGGTCAGAGACCAGTTATCTGGATGTGGCAAGGTCACGATGTTCCGTACAACAGCCGCTGTGTGAACTCAAGGGACAAGCACATCAGCGATTGATAACTTATTATGTAAGTTCAACCATCTGGGTTCATGTCAAAATGCTGGGAAAGATACACCGTCGATGCCTTGCACAGGCCATGCTGGTGCACAGCTTATTTTGCTCGACCATACGATCTCAAGATGGGTGCCATCAAGGACCGCGGCTTCGTCTGTGCAAGGCCATGTTTGGCACATCAGTAGCACTCAGCTGAGATTCCTCTATTCGCCATGACCTTCACCGCGATGCAATGCAGATCTGCAGAAGACCTTCTGTTTAGTTTGCAAGAAGCCCATCTAGGCTGCACCCTCGTGCACACTCCGAGGCGCCAAGCCACCACATCCTCACATCGTGCACTTCGAACTCGACTGCTTTGCCCTAACATTAAGAGTCACAGAGCCCTCAGACCCCAAGTCCGAAACCCTTCCTCCACCACATAGGCCCTAAACCCCAACACCTCTAAAGCAAATCTCAACCCCACCACCGCAACAGCCAAAAACCTAAACCCGATGAAGCCCTTGGCCTGAAGCACAGGACCGCCTTTGCGCGGCAAGGCCCACAGCCTTCCTGGGCGTCCCATTAGTTTGGGAGAAGACGCTTGACTGAGACTTTGCCTCTCCGGCTCTAGCAGGGTGTGGCGATGTCAGGGTCTGGGCCGCAGGGTTTACGGTTTGGGGTGTTGCTTTACATGTAGGATGTGAGTGTGTGTGAGATGAATCTGACTGGTATGATATGTTTACTACATTTTACTACTGTGTTGTAAACTCTTAACCTGCATTCCTATGTGCTTGGCTATCGTTTGTTGTGGTACGAATAGTTAGCTGTTATCGCCACGTCGTGTTGAGTTATTGCTTTCGGGCAGCTTGTTGTTGGTACGACTGTTGTGAGCCTGACTGATTGTCGTCCCTGCTTGGCAGTATAACTACACTCGCACAGCCTTTCCTCCACAACCTTTTCACACTTCTGGGAGTATGAGTATGTAAAATTAACATGCAGCTTGGGTTCAAATCAGGGATTGGGAGCTGGAATCTCCAACCCTTGAATCGAAAGGAGCTCCGCAAGGGCTCATGTGATCAGTCAGCGTCTCGGGGTTTCTTCAGATGCTGGAACCTAAACTGCCTAAACTTCGATGGCTTCGGTGGCACCACCAAACGGAAGACAAGACAGCGCTTTCCCGAACTTGGTTGCTGCTCTCAAGGATCGCAGACAAGCTGCGTGCCATTGGCGCTGCAAACTCAGGCAATGATAGGAACTAGGGGCTTTAGAGCTGCATCGCATTCTGGTTTCCATGATTTCAAGAGACGATTTGAGTCCTAGCAGCACTAGCTGAAATGCTCTCGGTTGGCTTAGGGGACATTGCACAAAACCAAGATGCACTTGCCATTGCTGTGAAGACAAATTTCCTGTAATATCCTACCAAAATCACCTTTGGCACTTTGGCAGGTTTGAAGCAGTCCATTGCAAGCTGGGCGAAGGACCTGGGCCTCACGCAAGCCAAGAGCTCTCTCTTGGGAGGCCCTGACTGGGGGGTGGGATGTTATTCTGTGATGAACCTTGTCGTCTTTCGTGCTGCGGTCCGGATTGTTTTTTTCGGCCATCAGGGGCCTTGCCACAGACTCAGACAGCTTCCGGTTTGGGTGATTGCAGACTGCATCTTGAGCGTTGCTGTTAGAGCACACAGATTCTTGGTATGTTGTTGTTAGTAGATGCTTGACGTAGCTTTGGGCATCGATTGTTGTTGGTGTTTCGAGGTCACGATAGGACCTGGGAACTCAGCATAGAGACTCTGAAGCAGGCGATGGTTACACTCCGGTTGGCTTCACCTTGGCAGAGACCTTGATTCTGAGCAAAGTGAAGGCCGGCCAGAGCAAGAGCAACAGATTGACTCGGGTGTCTAGCTTCAAGAGCTCTTCGTTGCTCATGGTATACCAGGGGCCTGCCTTTCATGGTAGAGGTGCGACCATCCCGAAAGCACTGCAAAAACCTAGCCCTCTTTGACTTGCTGCTTCCCAGAGCAAGCCGACCTGCGCATGAGGAGGGGTGGTATGGGCACATGTAAGTAGGATTGACCCCATAGCTGTACAGCAGAACTTAAATGTTCATGGTTGCAGTGGTTGCAGGGTTCAAGATTGAACTTCTCCAACGGACAGTCGGTTCAGCAGGGCGCCTTGGGAATGGACCAGCTCAAGTACGCGGCTACAGGACACATGCGAGACGCATAGCTTGCTCCGGCTGTGAAGTAAGATTACGGTCCTGACGGTTTCAACAGGAGTTTGGAGTGTTTCTTGAGTGTTTCTTGAAGAGACCCGACGAGATCCTTTCTTGATGTCGGCAGCCGTGCCCCCTTGAAGCCTCCGGGTCACAAATCTCAAACCTGAAATCCTAAGCCAGCGAAGCTGAAGATAAGAAGGCCAGGATCTGGGGTCCAGAACTAGCGAAAGCCCTCTCTCAGGAGCTGCTCCCATCCGCGTGGACACCTTGGAATACTTCGGATCCCTGGGCTCTTTGGCTGAAGCTGTGGCCTTGCCAATTCCGGTCCAGTCTGGCGTGGGAGCTGTGCTGCATTAAGAAAGCGCTGTTGCGTAAACTTTCTGATTTCGAAGACCCATCTGGAGCCGCAGTATCAAAAGATTGAAGTCGCAGGCCTGAAGCCACAATAAGATGAAGATCATACTACGCCTTCCTTCTCTGTCTTTCTGTCTTTATTGGCCAGCATGTGTCGATGCCTTGCATCGATATGCAGTCATGCAGCATGCTTCTCTGAAGTCTCCTGCATCCCGCGCCTGTGAGTCGTAAGGGTTGGAAGCTGCTCAGATTTGCGGGCATCTAGATTGCACGAGGTCCGCTTGGAGTTTTGCTCTTACAGCCGCAGCGTGCCATGCCCGCTGAGTTAACATTTAGTTTATGGGTTCCCGACTGTCAACCCTGATCATCATCGTGGTTAAGTGCAGAAAGATCTAGCATGAGCCAGTATAATCCGTACCACCGTCCGACACATTTCTCACAGAATCACTGTAATTAGCCTGATACGCTCCAAGTTCCTACTCCAGCCACATAGGATTGTCATCTCGTGGTTCGCGCAGCAAGATGTTCCGTTGTAAAACAAAGTGCTCGAAGCGCTAGTTATTTGCAAGAGGAGAAGCCGTGAAAGCCATGAAGCGGCCAGCAGCGAACATGTCATCGGACACAAAACTGGCGACAAAGCTAGCGCGGATGTTGGCTGGCGGAACGATGATCTACCCCAACCCTGTGGAGACGGAGATTGAGAAGGAAAAGCATGTATTCATAGAGGATAAGGACAATTTGTTCGTGCTGAGGAGTGCTGCAGGACGAAGCGCGACGGAGCTCGAAAACTCCGTGTTGAAGAAGCTTCAGCATGCTCAAAGCATCAGAAAGATGTACCTCTATCCTGTTCCCGGGTCGGATGATCGAGAGCCTGCCTTTGACTTCGCAAACTTCTCTAAGCTGGTCAGCAAGTACCTGCCAAAAGTGAGTGAGCTCTTCGTGCAGCACATGTTAGTGAAAAACTTCGAGCTCAAAGCCTGGCCGCAGCTTTCAAAGCTGACCTTGATAGATCCCCAGTGCAAGGACCAGAAATGGAGCCTTGAGCTCGAAAACTTGGAGGAGCTTGTTATGGAAAACCACTCTCCGCCAGTGAAGTCTTTTGCAAGCTCCTTGCTGCATTGCCCAAAGATTCGCATGTTCTTTGCACATAAGTACTGGGCAGATGAGTCTCTTCCGAGCCTTTACCTGCCTAGCTGCACGGACTTCACCTTCCGGCGTGGCGACTGTGTCGACAAGTTGACCCTCTACCTTCCGCGTGTTAAGGAGTTGAACTTGGATGCGAACTACGACCTACGAGTTCTGAAGTTCCTGAAGCAGGGCCACGCAAGCCAAGCCGAATGGAACCTCCCAACCCAGGCCAAGCAATCCAATTTCTCCCTCTCGTGTCAGAATGCCCTCCTCGGCCAGCAGGCGTCGACGGTTACAGGTTAGGTTCCATGTGCTGGGTCCTCTTATTAAGAACACGGATTCCGTCATTTTGGAGGAACCCAAAGACACTAGCCACCACCTGTGACCCATACTCAGGCACGTCAAGAGCTGTTGGGCAGCGGTCGCCTGCTGAACGGAATTGAAGCCGGGAGCGAAGATGACTCTATGGGCACAGACATGGAAGATGAGGAGGAGGAAGATTTGGACGAGGATGAAGATGACTTAGACACACTCGGACCTCATTTGCTTGGGCGCCAGGTGAGGGTGATGCGTCTCAAGTCCCGCAAGGACTTAGTTGGCAAAGAAGGTAAGATTACGGAAGTCTATCCTGACAAAAACAGGATAGGGGTCTGGTTTCTTCACACAAAGACCCTGGAGCTTTCAATACCCTTTCCCAGCGTGGAAGTTTTGCACACCGAGCCGCCTAAGAAGCGTTTGAAGGTGGTCAGCTGACTTCCAGGGCCGCTGTTTCAAAAGAAGGTCCTTTAGGGTTCCAGGCCCTCCTTCACAGCAGCTCTTCCGACAATGAAGGGTAAGTGCTGAGGAAGTGTCGCTTGTCAGAATCATCATCTGGGTTTTGGTTGGAGCTTTATCTGACATGACTAGGACCTAGAGTAGGCCCTTATTCCCTTTTTTAGGGTTCAGGTTCCCTTATAAGCCCCTTTAAACCAAAACGGGTACCCTTTTTATTCCTAGGTTACTCTCGGGTCTAGCATGAAGATGGAGGCCAGCCAGAAGTTGCTACCTCTCATATACACCAAAGCACTATACTAAGTCTTGCTATCAGCACCCTCAAGTAGGACCCATGCACCTTAACAACATAAGGTCTTGCATGGTCTTGACAAGTTCTCACGTCTTGAGCTATCGGGTAGCCGGAGTTAGGCAGTTGTTCATGCTCACCGGGTCCACGTAGGGATTCAGGGTTCGGGGCTTAAGTCTTGCATCGCGTTGCTTCGTGCCGTAATTATTGTACAGGACTCCATATATCCTTTATCATCAGCGTAAAGATTCCCCGAGCACCATCACCCTCAGCTCTCCAGAATCATGCAGGGCTAGATGAGACCTGACAATGGTTGATCGTCTCGGTACATTACCACTCCACGAGCAACCGTGGCGACGAGCACCTCATGTTCTCGTACGCAACGGGATTGGAGAAAGAGAAGGACGAAGTCTTCTGAACCGAGGGTTACTGTCGTATACCCTGCACCTAGACAATGAATGCTGCGACATCTTAACCCTGCCCCCGATGAGCTTGAAGACTCAGGCTTGAGCATCAACGAGGTGTACGGCATGTCTGCCGCACAGCTGAAGGAACATAGCCAAAATCCGGAAGATTTACGATGCTCGATGCTGCTTGCATCGGTGACCAGGAAAGCTGTTTAAATTGGCTGCATGCAAAGCCCTGTACTTGGATGGATTTCCTTCTGTTCAGTGATCACCACCGTCACCGCCACCATCGAAACCATCGTCATTCACCGTCATCGTCATGAACAACAACAACATCATCATCACTCCCCCCTGTTCGTCATAATCACCATGAGCTTTGACGGTGCCACCTGCACGCTCAATATGTTAGTTTTGTCGCTGTCAGCTGTATCAGTGTTATTTTGGGCATCAGGGTTGCGAGCGTTGGTTTCCTGTTGCTCTATTTCAATCTCCTAATTGTTACTCCTGCTGCTTGTGGTATTGTATCTGTAAAAGCTAGTACGAGTGCGACTACGACTGGTATCATTGTCACTGCTGCTGGTGGCACTACAGCTACTACTACTGCTACTACTTCTACTTCTTCTACAACAACAACAACAACTACTACAACTACTACTACTACTTCTACTGCTACTACTGCTACTACTACTACTACTGCTGCTGCTACTACTACTACTACTACTAAAACCAACTACTATGACCACGACCACCACCTCCACCACCACCACCACCGCCACCACCGCCACCGCCGCCACCGCCGCCACCGCCACCACCACCACCACCACCACCACCACCACCACCACCACCACCACCACCACCACCACCACCACCACCACCACCACCACCACCACCACCACCACCACCACCACCACCACCACCACTGGATCGCAACAGCGTTCATCGGTAGCCTTGTCACCGTATCGCCATCAGCAGCAGCATCTCGTTAGCTCTATCACCAGCGGAAGCAGCTTAGTTATAGCATCGCTGTCAGTTGCAGTGCCGGCACCATTAGCATCATCGCCATCAGCAGAAGTACCTGCATCACGATCATGTTATGACCCTAAAAACTGTCATCAGCAGTACCACGACTTCTGGAAGTCAATGACTATCCAAGGAAAGCTGTGGAGGTGCTACCCTTTCCACTCAGTCTGCACACCTGTGGGGCTCTTGCGGCTCTTCGGCTGGGCCATCGAGGGTTTAGCTGGGGTTTCAAATTCAAGTCTAGATTCAGGAGCTGGATATTTGTCAGGATGTTCCACGCCTAGGTTTGTGCTCTGAAACACCAGGCGCGCAGGCAAGACAATGCAGCAGTCTCTACTTTGTCAGAAGAGGGCCCGGGATACGGAACTTCGCCCCTGAAGGCGCTTGTAAAGGGCACTTGGGAAGCTGCTAGTTGCATTTCAGATGCATACTTTTCCTCAGGACACAAGACTTGATGCTAACGTTTTAAACTGCTCGCGACGATGAGTCAAGGAGCATGAAACCAAACGAACTACTTCCAGGAAAAAAGAGACATGTTCAAGACGATAATGAAGAGCCTCCATTATTTTCATTCCAATACTCGTATCAACAACGCAGCGAGCACCGAACACAGGCCTGTGGATGCTTGAGGTACACAGGCGAGAGTGATTGAGCGGAAACTATGGGTCTAATGTTTCCAGGCTTAGCATTGACCGTGGAGGGTGCATTTTGGATTCGGCGCTTTCCGTGTTACACAACAGCCTCACACCTGGCATGCAAGCAAGAATAAAGCATCTCCTTGGTCATTCAACCAGCGCTTCTGCACTCCGAAGAGTCCAGCAGCCTCAATCCCAGGATTTCCGGTTGACGGAGTCGAGGTGAAAGTTTTCAAGGCGGGAGCCCGTGTGAGTGTCCTTGGATGCTAGCTATAGGATTTGGACAGGTCGGGTCGGATCGGATATGCGCTTGACGGTCCTCAACGTTCACGGTGCTGCATTTTTACCACACTGGTGAGACAGCAGCTGTCGTGGCACTCGAGGGCACTCGGGTGTCGAGTTCTCAAGGTTTGATGCCGAGTGGGTCAAGTCTAGTCAACACCCAGTGCAGGTGGATGCCACCGACATCAACAAGAAGACGGAGTGCCCCAGGCATCCCCACGTGATCGTGATGTTACCGTCCTTCCGGGGCTTTGCTGTTTGTGGCTCAGGCAATTCATCATTTCATTTGTCAGGGTTTGGGGTTCAGGGCAAAGAGTCTCTCATCTTTTCACAAGATGCATGTCAGTTCCGTTTAGCCTGATCGGTTCATTCGAGCAAGGACGCCGAGTTTGGATGACAACCACGAAGACTACCAAGGTCCGGATTGTGCAAGGGATGCGAGCGAAGAATAATAGCAGCAGCATGCGAATGGGCGATGGTAGTTGTAGTCCGTCGCCTTACGAGCCCCTCGAGCACCTTCCTAGGCGTTGAGGCTCACAGGTTTTGTTCGCAATACTTGTTGCATCGAAAGGCAGGCAGTCGTTCGAGATTGGCCGTCGGGTGGAAGCTGACCCTCACATTGAAGTTTCTATGATGCAGAAGCGTGGTCTGTGAGGGCTCGATTGAAGCAACTTCACAATCGGATGCTTCTGGAGGAGAGATCTGCTTTCGCGGCCGGCAGATCATGACGCCTGGGCATTGCTAGAAGACTGTGATTCCGAAAGTTCGCAGCACAACCCATTACCGCAAGTCTGTAACACAAGGAAGACTCTCTAAACGCCAAGGTTAGAGGCCCAAGAGCTTGGCATCTCTCGAACAGAAGCCGACAGATACTTGCGCACGCCTAAATCGCAAATCCCAACTCTAAATCCTTAGTCCTAAACCCTACGGAATCCTTAAAGCTGACCTAGCGGATGGAAGGGAGCTCAACAAAAGCAAAGCCTGAGATAATATTACATTATGTATTTATATATATATATATATATATATATATATATATATTTATTTATGTAGGCGTATATAAATAAACTATCTATTTGTACTGAGGATGGGCTACCTCGCCCAGCCGGACTTTGGACCGGAGCACGTGAAGTCGCGGCTTGCCTTCCAGAAAGCTGTCAAGATAGGGCTTTAGGGTTTGAGGATTTCTATATATATATATATATATATATATATATACCCTGGGCATCGTTCGCTCGAAAAAGATTAGGTGCACGCTCGAAACCGCGGGTTCACGTGAAAATTTCAATTGCGCTCGTAAATTACAATCGAATGCGCTTGGTTCCGAAATCGTGTGTTTCTTGCTTCTATTGGTTTTGATGTGTGTTTTCTATTGGTTTTGATGTGATTTTCTATTGGTTTTTATGAGAGTTTTCTATTGGTCTTTATGAGAGTTTTCTATTGGTTTTTATGTGAGTTTCTATTGGTTTTGAAGTGCAAGGGGGGGGGCAGGACGGGCGAGAAAATGGCCCAGAGGATGGGGCTGGACAAGTCCCTGCACATGTTCAGAACAAATCCCTGCAAACATGGGGCTGGACAAGTCCCTGCTAAGACATATTCAGAACTGCAAAGATGGGTTTGGGCAAATCCCTGCTGAGACATATTCAGAATGGCCAACCGGGGCTGGACAAGTCCCGAAAGACATGGTGCAGAATTCTCAACCACAAACCCGTAAACCCTTCTTCGCAGGTGCTCTTTGCGAGAACTGCCGCTGTGACGGCCCGGGCCTTTTGGGAGCCCCAGCTCGCAACCTGAAGCCTTGCAGTCGCAAGTCTTTTCAAGTGCTTGCTGCTTTAGAGTTTTGCCGGCTCGAGTTCGAAGCAACATTCGCGGCCATGGAGAGCTTCATGAGACAGAGCGACTTGGAAATCACGGCCGATCTTGAAGAGCTGTCATGGGACGAGAAGAATCGTCTTCTACGACTTCTCTGCAACCATCTTCATCCTACAGTGCCTATGCTCCCTCCTGGAGTTCGGAAACATCGGCCTGCTTGCAAGCAAGTGTGCCCAACGTGCTGGGAGGTTTGTGGTCGTCGTTTCGAGCATATGTCTCACGAATGTTGCAAATGCCAGGGATACAGAGTTCATGTACAGCCTGATACCCAGTAGCTGTAGAGCCGGCACAAGAACAGTTTTGATTGGGGTCGAGACTGCTAAGCGGTGACAAGCGAAAAAATCTTCAGGCGAGACCGTTGGTTTTTCCTGCTTAATCTTGCCGTTTGCTGCGGGCTTATCGATTTCTGATCGTCTCCGCAGCTATTATTCCTCCAGTGGCATAGCTCCTGAGTTGCTTTTTTGCGAGGTTGCGGAAACGATGGGCTCTTTCTGCAGCCGCCGCCGTTCCTGTTCGCAGCGCTGCGAACAGTGCCAGCAACGATGGGCTCTTTGTGCCCGCCACAGGGCCAACCACAAGCACCACTGGTGTGCGGCCTGTATCGTGGACTACTGGAACTGGCAGGACGACGCAGGAGCCTACCAGAGGCATCTCTTGAGAGAATATTACGAAAGTGGCAATTGGCCTGGCCACGAGGATGAGAACGTCCAGATCCATGAAGAATCCGAGGATGAGAACTTGGACCGCATCAATGAAGACTCCCAGGAGGAGAACGGGGATGATGAAACCCAGAATGAGAACGAGGAATAGGCAGCCAGACCTGAGCCGAGCGCCGCAGTGTAAAAGAACGCTGATCTGCACGTGCACTGTGTTGGAGGTTTACCCGCTGTGCCTTTGCATGCTGCATGTGTGCCTGCCGCTCAGAGTTCGTAAAAATGATCGCATAGCTCACGCTGCAAATCTTTCATGCATGTGTGTTATATGTAAGTTAGAACCATGAAGCGAACCGCCGCTATGGCTGGCCTGCCGTGTTTCCAACAAAGGGTCTTTCGGATGGTCGTCGTGCTTCAGGATGCTGCGGTCACCAACAATGAAGTCTGGCATTTTCACTTACAGGTAAGCCATTCTGCAAACGTGGATGGGGCGAAGAAAATGCTTATCTTTCACGTATACCAAAGATCGGGATATGAGCTGAGGGCTCGAAGCTTTCGCCTGCAGCAAAACGGAATTCATCTCGGCTTTATGGAACCCATCACGAATGTGAGGACTCTTGATCCTGTGCACTTCGTTCGCACAAATGACGACTGAAAAAAAGCTTCATTGATTGCTTTGCCGCAGTGTCCTTTTATGCGCCGTGAGTTCTGCAGCATGGATTCAGCTGAAAATGTTTGTAGCAATTTTGTGGCTTAAAGGAGGGAAATTGTTGTTTGAAGGACGGAATCCCGCCGCCATGAGTTCCAGCGAGGAGCAGTACGTGACCTACGGGAGGGCGGACGCTGCAGAGAACAAGGAGGAACAGCTGCTGAGCGAGCTGTCGCAGCTCCTCAAGCAGCCGCAAAGCGAAGTTGAATCTTCATGGCGGCTGGCAAAGGAGACCGGCTACTGCCTCCATTGCTCGAATGTGTATCTGAGGCCGTTCTTGGACAGCAAATCTCTCACCATTTACGATACGTTATTGTATCGACAAGAGTATTGGTGCAAGTGCGAAGGCTGAAAGGCTGTAAATGCCTGCTTCGCTATAAATAAATTAGCTCGCCGGCATGACCTGGCATGCGATCTTGGGTGCAACGAAAAAAGCGCCGAGTGTCCGAAGCCCTCCGATGATGTGTTAAATTGCTTGCAGCCATGTACTGTGTTGCATTTTTTGGGTTCGCAGCAATTTCTGGCTCAATATTTTCTCGAGGATCGTATAGTATAGTTTTGGAAAGAAATGGCACCTCAGAAGCGGAAGTCCATCGGCCCGTATGACAAAGATGGCCTGAAAGAAGGCCTCCGCAACCACGTCAAGAATCGCGGAGCAGAGTTGGCTTTGAAGCTGGGTGTCTACGACAGCTTGAATCGTTCCAAGGCTGTGTCAGCGACTGGCTTGCTTTACGTTTCCCAGCTCGTCACGGTGATCCTGGACAGTTGCCCCGCAGCTGAAGTCCACGTCGCTGTGCTCAAGGAGACCTTCCAGGATCTCGGGACCCATTGCAGGATGTTGCCGGGGAACATGGCCTTGAAGCATTGGGCAGGTTGGATGACGGAACGCATCACAACCATCTTGAATCATCTGAGGCGGATCAAGCTTTCGAAACAGCGATACGCGGAGGCATCGAGGAGGCTGACTGCTAAGGACAAGGCAGCCTTAGACGAGCTGCTGCAGAAGATCAAGATCGACAGAATGGCTGCTGCACCGTCGAAAACAACAGCAGCCTCGCCCCAAAAGCGGAGTTTGAAGCCGACCGAGTCAGTGGAAGCCTCCCCGCCAAAGCGGACTTTGAAGCCGACAGACACACTGGATTCAGATGGGTGGCCTAAGTTCGGCGGGTTCGTGGCCGCGGACGCTGAAACTGCAGAATCCGTGCCCGCTGAGCCTAAATCCTCCAGCGACGAAGAGGCACCAAGAACCTCTGCACTAAAGAAGCCTGCAGCGAGCAAGGCCGTGGTGATGAAGATGAAGAAACCTTCTGGCATCCTACGCAGGCCCCAGTACGAGAAGATGAGCCAAGCCCAGAAGTTGAAGGCTCGGCCAAACGGCTGCGGCAAATGCCGCCACAGACCAGGATGTTGCAGGTCGTGCATCCCACCCTAGATTCTTTAATTTCTGGAGGCCAGAATGGACTTTGTTGAAACATGTCGTTGGACCGAGTGCTGAGCAGTTTGCATATCTGTGCAGTATACTTATATGAGCTGCATGGTGGCACGTGTCCGCTTGCTCAGGTCCTTGGCTGCTGCTGGTTCGGAATAATGATTTGAGTTGCCAAAAGCCTTCCCAAAAGTCAGGGCTGAATAAGCCCTGAGCTGCCTGGGGCTGCACAAGCCCCAACAAATTAAGGCTGCTGAAGCCTTAGAAGGGCTGAGTAAGCCCCCTTGAAGCTTGGGGCTGAACAAGCCCCTTGAAGCCTCGGGCTGCAGAAGCCCTTGGTGCCTGGGGCTGTACAAGCCCTAGGCTAGGCTGCAAAAGCCTCCGACAAGACCGCAAGATGCTGCATGATGCTTGGTGCTGAAGTTGAATAAACCCCTGCCAAGGACACTCCGCTTCAAGATCGAGATATGCTGCAAGACATCAGCATGAAGGCTCGCCCGGTGAATCGTGCAAGTCCTTGCCGAGTTGCCGCAAAGCAACAATCTTGGAAGCACAGCTGTACATCTAAAAGGCTTTTGAGGCCCAAGCCCTGACTGAGCTCCGCCGCCCCTTTTTGTTCGCTTTAATGGCGAACCGGAGGGCAAAGAAGCCTTGCCAGAAGGAAAGAAGGGCCAAGCGGGCTGCTAAGCGAGCTGCAGAGGCCAAGGCCGCAGCACGGCCGCCGAAGGCTTCGGCAAAGCCAAAGACGAAGGCTGCAGCAAAGCCAAAGGCGAAGGCCCAGACCTTCCCGGCAGCTTCCTGGCTGTTCTTGCTGAGCCTGCACGCAGCAATGAATGCCGATGCCGACTCAGCCCCGCGGGGTTCAAGGGACCCGCCTCCCTTAAGGAGTCTGCTTGATCAGGGCATGCCTTTGCCCGTGCCCGTTGCCAAGAAAGATGATGAAGGCGACGAGGGTGAAGAAAATGAAGAAAGTGAAGAAGAAGAAGGCTTTGAAAGCGACCCGGTCGTCGACCCGACTCCTCCGAAGACAAAAGAAGATGAGAAAAATGATGAGAAAAAGGATGAGAAAAAGGATGAGAAAAAAGACGACTACTACAAGGACTACCAAGCAAAGCCTGAGAAACCCTCAGGGGTTTGGAAGCAGTTGGTGCCTACAGGCGCGGGGCGGTGGATCTGGCTCAGATACTGCCGCTATTGCCACTCCAACAACTATTGGCGCAAAGGCTGCTGTTTCAAGTGCAGCAGTGAAGCACGACTTCGTTCGTGCATCCACGAACACCTTTCGTGGAAAGGCAACCCTCATGCCAAGGACTTCGCCGAGGTCGCCGCCGAGGAAGCTGACGCAGCAGCCCCAGCAGACAATGCCAACAATGCGAATGCAGCCCCAGCAGCCAATGCCGACAGTGCGGATACTGGGGCCCCGACGACGGCCCCGACAACAGCCCCGACGACACGCTTGGCACTCCCGGCTCCT